AATCGATGACTTTTAAAAAATCACAAAAATTGGATTTTTTTCGAAAATATTTTTCTTCCAACGGGCAAGATACATCTTAATAACCTATTGTGTGGTATATAACGACAATAATGTCTACCACCAATATCAATGCCTTTTGAAAGTTCCAGAAAAGCCAGGTAGACAAGAGATGATATGATACAGTATGGTCACTCCAGTGACCATTGGGGCGGAATGACTTGAAAAGTCCTATTTTGGGCTTTCGTAAATTTTATATAGTTCGACCAAAAAACGTCACAGAGAGTTCGGGACACCTCATTTTGTAGAGAATTGCTTGCTCTATCATTCTACGTAGTTTGAAAAAATTTTATTCGCAAGTTCTAGATGCCGAAAAACTAGGGTTTTGGTTTTCTAGAAAACTGAACTTGTTCTCATTTTTTTACATTTGTGCCATATTCTTATAAATATCAAAGTGTTGCAAAAGGTTCATTTGGACAAATGATACTTCATTTCCATGAGCAAAAATTATTTCAATAACACTTACTGTGCTCGTTCAATTTTAATTATTGGCGTGTTGATTTTTACACACATGGCAAATTTTTTATAGTTTAATAAAATCCGAAAAAAAATGATAAATTATAATTTTACTTGAGAAAATCCTATTGTTTTATCTAATAAACTGTTTAAAACCACCAACTCGGATAACTTGTTTTAGGGAATAAAATGAATTTTATATGTGACTACGTGTAATTTTCTTATCTTTAATTTGTTTTTTTTCAAATGATTTCTTTCACACTGTCTGCAACCATTTTAATATTCAACGAATATAATTTTGATACGATCGTTTACTATGATGGACCGTTTTAAGCTTAGCTGTGTGTTCAAATTAAAATTTTCTTTCCATTTAGATCATGTTAAGACACATAATGCGTGTAAATCTATATCGTCATATTCTTGTACTGATGAATTAACTATTTAAAGATCGCCAGATTATTACAATAACGATTAAAACGATGTATATACTCGTCAAACGTCATCTAGAAAACAAAACAAGAAATACAGTATTAGTCTCAAATTCTACATTGAGAATCTTAGAGAACACTGGATGATTGTCACTTGATGATGGTTTCATACCGGAACAAAAATATATAATCGATTTATAGGTGAGGAAGTAAAGTCTCTCTGCCTCTTGAATGAACGCACAATTTGTTGAACAAATTTATAATCTAAACAAAGCTGTTATGTACAGCGCTTTCAACTAGTCTCATTATTGTATAAGAGAATACGTGTAGTTTAATTTATCGTCAAATAAGAAACAAAAAGAAAGATACAAAGATAAAAATGACTCACAATTAACAGAATTTTGTGGCGTATCGAAATACAATATTAGTCTACAGTTGATTTAAACTCTTTCAAGCAAAACTGCAATACCTTGTCCACCGCCAATACATGCCGCACCAACAGCATATTTTCCTTTTCGTCTTTGCAATTCATAAACCAAATTACCAGTAATTCTTGTTCCACTGCTGCCTAATGGATGTCCCAAAGCAATTGCTCCACCATTTACATTCGCTTTTTCTAATGGAATTTGCAATACTTGTTGACACGATAGAAACTGTGGTGCAAATGCTTCATTGATATCAAATAGATCAATATCATCGACGTTTTTTTTTGTTTTCTTTAATAAATTTTGAATAGCTGGTACAGGTCCAAATCCCATAATTGTTGGTTCAACACCAGTCACATGATACGCTATTAATCGTGCTAATGGTTTTAAATTATGCTTTTTTAGCGATTGTTCGTCACAGATGAGTACAGCTGCCGCACCATCACATATTCCACTGGCATTTCCGGCTGACACTGTCCCTTTTTCTTTTTTAAATACTGCTGGTAATTTAGCTAATTGTTCTAATGTTGTTTGAGGTCTTGGATGCTCGTCTGTATCAAATGATTCTTCTACACCCTTCTTATTTTTCGTTTTTATTGGTTCAATTTCATCTTTAAAATAGCCCTTATCATTTGCTATTTTCCAACGTTGTTGTGAGTCAAATGCAAATTTATCGGCTTGTTCACGTGTTATATTATATTTTGTGGCCAAGTTTTCAGCTATAAAATATAATAATGACACATAGAGTTTAATATTTGATTTAATAAATAAGTCTAGATTCTTTACCTGTTATTCCCATCGGGACTTTAGCGTATTCATCTGTTAAACCCTGCCATAATGTATCTTCTAATTTTAAATCTTGACCAAGACGTGTACCAAATCGAGCATTTCTCACGGCATAGGGAGCTTGAGACATGTTCTCTGAACCACCGCACAGAACAACATTTGCGTCATCTAAACAAATTTCTTGTGCACCCGAAATAATTGACTGGAATCCACTACCACACAGACGGTTAACAGTTAACGCTGGTACATGTATAGGAACCCCAGCTCCTAACGCAGCATGACGAGCAAGGTAAGCTGCATCTGATGATGATTGCATAACATTGCCAACAAACACACTATCAACATGTTCTGGTGATAATTTTGCTTGTTGTAATACGGCTTTGTTTGCTAGTTCTTGTAATTTTGTTGCACTATAATCCTTTAGTTTACCACCATAAGTGCCAAATGGCGTACGACGAGCACCGACTATAAATACAGCCTTCTTTAAAGCCATTCTGAAACAAATTCCAAAAAAATTAGATAGTCTAGAATAATGTAACTAAGTTGAAAAATGAAATATGTAAGCGGATGTACTTTGCTCGTTCTCTTACTTTTTATGCGTAAATGTCTTGTGCTTGTTTCAAAGGTCATTGAGAGGAAAGAAGAAAAAAATGACTAGCTCACAATGACAAACAAAAACTGACGTCAGCTGAGTAATATCGTACTCCAGTAGTTGTTATTAACGTTTTCATTAAAAATAAACCATTCATTATAGGTCGTTGAACAATCATACGAAATCTTGTCAGGACAGCTCTTTGCAGGACTAAAATGGTGAAACTCCTTTACAGGTCTTTCACTTTTAATCAGTAAAGCACTGCTACGGTATATTAATATTGTAATATAGAGAGATGGTGCGAGACTTTTATCTGTTTTGAGCTAAACAATAATGGTAACTAGAGATTTTTCGCTTTATTTCACGTTTTTTACTAAAGATAAATATTTTTTCGTTGTTTTTTTGGCTCAAAGTGAGACAATAATTTAATTTTAGTACCAATGAATACTTTTATAATGAATACACCTGGGAGGAGGGAGGAGGGAGGAGGGAGGAGGTAGAAAAATAGGTCAAAATCAAGGCTTTTTTAGTATAAAACTTCAGCTTTTGAAGATACTGAAGGAGTTTAACAAAAACCTACACTTATAGTACTTCACAAAACTATTTACCTTTAATTTGAGTACTATAAGGTCTTATGACTTGAAATTCTTTAGAAAGCTGGTTAACGTGAAATGATAATTTAGTTTAGTTTCAAAGCTTAGATCCTTCGACACTTATCGTTAGTGAATTTGATTACTTTAAAATTTCATTAGTAACGCTTATTTATTTCATCAGACAGGAGAGATCTTGAAAAGTTTCTTGTATAGAAACGAAGCGCATTTCAAACAAATATGTTAAGTGTTTAGCACAGATTCATGTGCGCTTTTGATCGTACGTGAAAAGGTTTTTGGATGACAGGGAAATTTTTAGAAAAAACTTTCAACGGAAAAAATCTATGGAATTATTTCCCTATTGGAAGCTTCTTTTCTACCGTGAAAAGGGTAAAATAAGAAATGATCACTGAAATAACATGCTTTTGATCCCGGTTGCCAAAATCTAGAAAAAAACATACAAAACATCTCGGTTACGAAAAATAAATTTTTTAACGCCAAAATTATGGAGAAAAGCATGTAACAGATTTCAGTTCGTTTATAGGATCGAAAAACATGGTTTAGACCTCGGAAATTGTACATATCGTACAATGAAGTAGTGATCTAATTAGTCAAAGTTTGAACAGTTGTCACCATCAACAAATAATGGACCAGAGAGCCTCATCTTTCATTAAATACATGACGCTAAATATTCACTGGAAAACTAGTTTAGACAGAAAGTGAAGACAGTTTTTGTACCGTGAAAAATCCTTGAAAATTTGTTTGTAATAATTTTGAGGATAACGTATGTTCTTGTATGTTTGACTCATTTTATATGTTTTTGTGCTCATAGCAGCAATAAATAGAGAAAGTCTTGCGTTTATATCTGTATCTCTGGTGTTGAAACTCTACCTTGAATTTTCCAGGATTTATTGATGTATATCAATTTACTAGTTTACTAATGGAATTTTAAAGTAATCAAATTCACTAACGATAAGTGCCAAGAGATCTAAACTTTGAAGATGATCATCATTCTACGTTAACCATCTTTCTAAAGAATTTCAGATTATAAGACCTTATAGTACTCAAATTAAAGGTGAATAGTTTTGTGAAGTACCATAAGTATAATAGAACCGTTGTGGTCTCGATGTTTATTTTACACAAAAGGCTTTGTTGTAATCCATTAGATCAATATTATTTATATCATTCTTTCTCTATTCGATTCATAATGATTGGTCGCATGCAACTGAAATAATATTGTTAGTTTTGTCTTTTTAATACATTAGAGATGTAAATTCAAAAATTTTCATTCGTTCACCATGCCACATCGCCGCAGTCTGCTTTTAATTTGGCGTTAAAACTGTTCGCTTATACGAGCGTCCCTGTCATTCATTATTAGTACAAATGTGTAATAATATTCTACTCTTAAATTCACTTGATATTTTAGGATTCAAACCAGAGTCAGATATGTTCAATATCTAACAAAATATTAAAAAACTGCTTCGATAATAATACATTCAGTGTCATCTTAAAATTACTTTGACATGAACAACTGTCAATAAACACGGATCATTTGACAGAGTGACATGGTTTTTCTTTTTACCTTTTAAATAAGGCAAGTTTTCAAAATACTTACATTCCAATTCCAAAGTCTCATTATGAATTAAAATTCGTGTGTATTTTCAAAAAAGTATTTACTCTTCATGTTTGATACACGTACGCATATTAAATCTAATTATTTAGACTTCTGCCTCGCTCAAGGACAAGTCAAACGTTTTTCTTCTATGCATCTGAAATGTTGATGACTGACTCTTTCACCTATTCTCAAGTACTGTAGTATATCATTTAAAAACTACACTCCTCTTCACAAAGATATTTTTTGTCTCAATGCAGTATTTCTTAGAGACAGGTATTATAATCCGGCTTTAAAATAGGCGATCGAAGAGTCAAATAGCATACCAGACCATCTATGTGTATTCTATAATTCTTCGTGCAATTTTACTCTTAGTCCATCCATCCATCAGAAAGGTATTCGGTATGACGTAACTTTCTTTGCCTAGTAAAGAAATACAAAAAATCTCAAATCCTCTTCCATTTTGAAATTTTAATTACAATCAGGAGAATAAGAGACATTGAATCAAATCAAAACACAGTTGAAGATTGATGTTCATCTTTTCTAGAAAAAACGTTATTCAAAATGCGGTGGTTATTGACAACCAACAGCACGTAGATCTCATATATGTCTATAAATAACATCTAGTACTAACAATATTATTCTCCTGACATCAAACAAAAAGTAAAAAAGAATATCATAGTCAAATTCATATAGGATTTCGTTTGTTAATTTAATTTTAATAAAATACAGAAGCAAAAGAAGAAAACCGCTGAAAAGGAAAACATAAACAATAAAACAATAAGTTATAGTCAGACTGGATGTATATATCTGTGTATCATTATAAATAATATTATAAACAAACAAAAAGACTGACAACCAAAACGAAAACCACTTCGTACATGTTTAATACTGGAACAAACGAGAGAAAGAATGTTTATTAGTAGAAAGACGAAAAAAGAAAACAACGAATAACAATAACACATATGTGCCTAAAAATTTTTTTTCAGTATAAGTGAAATTAAAAGAAAAAATAGCCCGAGAAAAAGAAAAAAAACATGTTGTGTTGATGTTATTATTCAATACATAAATTAACCTAAGATATCTGTTAAAGATCAGAACTGTTATTTTTTTTGTTGTAATGAATTTGATAGCCATTCCATTGCGTCATTGAGACCCGTACCTTTAACAGCAGATGTTTTAAATATTTGATATTTTCGGTTTTTTAAACTGGTTAAACCGAGTGAATTTGCCACCTCTGATACATTCATACAATTATCTAAATCTTGTTTATTAGCGAACACACACAATACAGCATTTTTTAATTCATCTTCGTCTAACATTGATACCAATTCATGTTTTGATATTCCAATACGATCACGATCCATACTATCGACAACATAGATAATAGCATCCGTATTAGAATAATAACAACGCCAATAGGGTCTTATCGATGTTTGACCACCTAGAAACAACAATAGACAAATATCAGATTTTTAGTCAGTTTTAGCAACAACTCAAAACGTATACTAGTAGTTATTTTAGATTACGACTGATACTGTATACATAACATTATTTTAGAAAAAGTTGAGGTAATTGTATGACAACTTTGACAGTTACATCACAGTAAGAAAAGTTTCAAAGAATAAATTATCTCTAGAATACAATTTTAACACGGAACGAAAACAAATAAAAACAAAAGTATATATAGCAAAATAAGAAAATCGGTGAAAATAGAAACAAACACTATTCATCTGTAAATGTCTACATACCTAAATCCCACACTTGAAATTTTAAATTTTTATACTGCACAGTTTCAACATTAAATCCTATGGTAGGAATTGTCGTCACAACTTCACTCACTTGTAAACGATAAAGAATAGTTGTTTTTCCTACAATAAAAAGAAAATAATGAAATGCAAATATTAATATTTCCAACGTTTATAAACTGACCTGCACCATCTAAACCTAGAATCAGTATTCGTCGTTCTTTGCTGCCAAATAAATTGGAAAATAGACTTAGTACGCTACCCATTGCTGTTTTAGTTTGCACAAATATGTAATATAATTATTATTCTCAATAAATTACAAATAAAAGAATGTCTTTACTTCATCTAAAATAAAATAAAACTAGACAATTGTAAGCGTCAACGACCGAAACGTTCAGTTATGACAATTTCCCTTTCAAAAAAGAAAGTTTTTGTCCGTACAATCCAAATTTCTTTCTCTTGTCATTTTTATATCGTTCATACCTCTGTCAATCGATAATTTATCGACGAATGAAATGAACTAACAATACGTTTTATTTGATGGTATATCGATGGCTATTTTTTGAAGTTGAATTAATCTACTTTTATATTGAGCACGAATCCCACACAAAACATGTAGTATTCATAAAATTTCCATGAGATGTCGCTGTTCGTTTGACTCATTGTAATTGATGGTACTCGAGGAAAATTTCACCTTTGTGAGAGATTTGCTGGCAGAAGAGATTTTATAAGGTATAGAACTTTAAAATTCTATAATGTTTCTAGATCGCTGTGATAGTGATGAACGAAATCATATGTAAGTTTAGAACCACGCCTTGTTGTTAAGACATGATTCTACTTATTAATGTAATCCTTTTGGATAAACTGCCTGTCTACAACCTGAAAAGAAGTGTAATGAATACTAAATAGGGTTCATCGATTACTCTTATTCGACCACTATGGTTACGTGATATAAATTAATTTCACTTTTAGTTTAACAGTGAATTGAGATTATAGATTGCTATTAATATAAATTAATAAATTGTTACGATTCACTCTTATATTAATTGATAAAAATTAACGATAGCTGATTAATGCCAGGAATGTCTGTGAACTTAGCTAGGCGAAGATTCTTTTAACAGAAAAAGAATGGTCTTTTTACAGATCTGCTGTGACCGATAACATAACGTCAAAAATTTGTAGAATTTCCTCAGCAAAGTATAACTTTCCTTTAACTTTCCATTTGTTTTTGCATCAATATGATGCTGCATGCTTTTACTGAATATTTGTATATAAAGTCGCAGCAGAAAACAAATCAAACAGACAGCGGTCCATATACATTCCAGTCACATCATATCGCCTATGGAGAAATTTTGTCGAAGTTCACGACGTTGGGGTCGTGCACTTGCAACATCAAATACGTAGTCACGTGTGAACTAATTTCACAAGTGAGACTTTCTTTTCACGTGTGTTCATACACCGTTATACGACTTTCACTAAGGATCATGTGCGAAAAAAATGACGCAAAAAGTTTCCGTGTGTAGTTCACGTGTTGTCACACCGTTTTATATACTAAAATTTCCCCATTGGGGTATCAACAAAACAATATTTGTCGTTTTTTGTTTTCTCTATTAAACGCACAAATTCTCTTAACTAACGTTTTTGATTGACATTCATACTATACATGATTACTTGACCTTCGCATTACTGATAAGTGAGTTGTTTGGTGTTCTTTTTTTTTTATGTTGACAAAATAACTATATCAGAAAAGAAAACATTTTTCTAAATAAATGTCCGCTGCTAATTAACTCTTTGACTGTATCTCACACTTTGTTCGAAAGAAAGTGATAAACGAAAAGGAATGATGTCATGAATGATACTGCTGAAAATATGCCCAAAACATGTTGACAAACTATATTAGCGAAAAGCAATATGAAAAATAGTTCTTTTAGATTCCACTTATCTTATTATTATTTATTTATTTATTAAAATACAAAATGTTGGATGTCTTTGCTAGGGATGTTACAAGCTTTGGGATCTTGCATCAAAGATCGCATGTTTTCATTATTCAAAACCCCAAAGCACTACCGAGCTTTTGGATCAGACTTAACCAGTTTTCTCTGCTCTATCCAAAACTAATGCTAGGACCGGTTAAAATCAATAAAAAATGTGCCGGACTTGGTAAAATTTGGTGAAAGTTCACCTTTATCTGTATTTTTTAACAAGTGTTACCAAGCCCGGTACTTTTTTTGTTGATTTTGACCAGTTCTAGCATTAGTTTTGGATAGAGCAGGGAAAACTGGTTAAGTCCGATCCAAAAGCTCGGTAGTGCTTTGGGGTTTTGAATAATGAAAACATGCGATCTTTGATGCAAGGTTCCAAAGTTTGTAGCATCCCTACTCTTTATCACATATAAAAGTAGCACGCAAGGTAATCAAAATCCGTTTTCAAATGTTTTGCTTCATCGTTCAGCTATATCAAGCAAAACTTCGTCATACATTTTCTCCACCTGTTCTTTTCGAAAACTTGTACGAAATAAATGTGCCAAAAACTCTTCCTACGATCAAATGCAGAGTCAGCAGACATGGACCCACGTCCTAATAACAGTAGTTTATTCTATAGTTGTTGCCGATTAGGATTTGTTAAATTCATTTAACTCGTACATAGAACAACAATTGATGTATGACAATATACACAGATAAAGCACGTGAAAAGTACTATCAAAGCAAACAATTATGATAGTGACAAAAGAAATCCGGACGAGTTACAAAATACTCTGTGTAGCAGGTTTTCAACACCTAACACATTCTAATTGTATTTTGCATGATTTAAATAATAGAAATAATGGTTTAAATAATAGAAAATATGAAGATTGCGTGTATATTGCGATTTATAAAGATAATAAAAAGAAAACAAAAAAAAAATAACAATAACAAACCAAACCATGCCAATTATTCTAAGATGAAAACAAGACGAAAACACAAACTTCGAAAGGGGAAAACCGGTAAAAGATCAAGTTTATTTTATTTTTGATCAATCAAATCGTATATTTTAATGTGTTTAAATAAGTGCGTGGGAAAATATTTGTTCCAGTATACTCAATATCATCTAAACAAGACGAAGGTTATGAAAATGAAGAAAGAGCATTACACGAAACGGTGGGAAGTAAACTAATAAAAAAACAGCAACAGATAGATTATGATAACGCGGAAAAAATAACATGTTCACATAGCTGATGAGCAATAATTAGACGAATAGAAAAAAACGTAAAACTATACGCATCACGGAGTATAAAAAACGATAGAATAAGAGCCAAAGAAAAAAAATTAGAAAACTAGTGTCGCGTTGTAATATCTCTTTAAAAAAAACGAAAATGTGTGTATTATTTTTCAGTGCCATGCACACGAATTTATTGCGTTTATATTGGTTTCGTTTCGTAGATGAAAACAAAAAAAAGCTTTGACTAAAGACACACACACACACACACACACGTTAATAGATATAAAATATGAGATTAAAAACAATTAATAGCCACAATTTTTCAGATATTCACCAATTTTGTTTGTTGCAGCTACAAGCATTTCAGGTTTTTGATTGACTCCAACGGAAACAATATAAGCTAAAATAACACAAATAAATAAATCAGTGCTTTTTGTGTTGTTTAATCATCGATCAGTTCATGTTAAAGATTTTGAGTCTTACCGAGAATATATGAGAACAAATAACTACTGAATTAAAGTAGTTCTTTAGAAAACTATCACTAGAGAAGAGTTGAATATCTTTTACCTTACTTTGTAGATCTACATTGTACTAGCAAAGAGAAATAACTTCAGACTTAATATTTACCTTGGTTTAATTTGACTATGACCATTCCATCAGCTCCCTTTCGAAATACAACAAAATTATCTTGATTGCGTATAAAAATATATTTTTCACCATTAACAACGATGCCAGATGGTTGTGTCGAAAATGCTTTAGATAATTCATCTTTGATATGATCAATAGTCTAAATGAAAAATAAAAATAACTTAAATAATAAACAAATAAAGGAAAGCTCAATAATAAAAATAAAGAATTCGAGAAGAATTTTGTCAAATTAAATCAAAACTATCGCCGTCACTTTGTTTTATTTAGAAAATTTTCTAAAACTAAAAGGTTAAATAATATCTTAACTTCTACTTTCTGTCGGATTCAATAACGAAAATCGTCTGTACTTATCAATTCAGAATAAAAAACTTACAGGAAAATTCGGAGATGCTGCCCATTTTGACCCATCAGCGCCAAATATTCCAGCATGTGTAATGCCTTGACTCGTTAAATTTGTCACATACTGATCCCAGCCAGACATATTTGATTGTTTGGGTTACGTTTTCGCAGTAAATTAATTAAAAGAATGTGTCCGTTCTAGAAAATAAAATGGAGAGACATTTGTAATAGTACATGTACACGCACGCTAGATTCAGTTTAGTTGAAGACATAAACTACGGCACCCATCCATGTATTTTACCATGATCAAAATTACCTAGTAGAAAAAAAACAATAAAAAAAGAAAGCGCTAACATGCCCAAATAAAGAAAAAAAAGAGAGAAAGGTAAGAACCCACAATCTGAAAATATATTAAGAGAATAAAGTGCATCTGTGTGTAGAGATAACATATAGAGATGGAATAATAAAAACGTGATGTTATTTGCAAAATAAGAGTAGAAAATGATAGAATTTTTTCGTACAAAGAATATGTATCTTTTCTTCTTGTTCTTCTGCTTTCTATCAAATATTCCATCCTTCTTTTGACGTGTTTTCTAAGAAAAATTCTTGTTTACAAATAGTTACTGTAATCAATAATCTTGCGCTGAATCATCAAGATCAACATTATAACCATTGCTGTAACTAATAACAGTAATATTAATAATCACCCCTGGCAGTAATAACTCTATTCTCTAGTTCTAACAACAGAATGAATGAAAGAAAGAAAGAAATGAAATGACAAGTAAAACATGGGTAATGCACGACGTGCGTGGATCTAAAAAACTCGCAGAGGCTTATATACTATCACAATGTTTCAATAATAATGTTCACTCCCACACACAAATTAATGATCATATTTCCAGTCCACTGTCACTATTATTCATCTCTTCCAATCTTATAAAACCGAAAAATGTACTCAATTAACTATGAAAGCGGCATCTATTTTAGCCGGTGCAACACTATCAAATCACAAAAGTGCTCTGTTTGTTGCATGTTATTCACATTTTCAAAACCTTCAAAAGTGCTTCCATCTCTTATTCACTATATATCTAAAAAAACGAAAGAACAAGATACGATTGAATGTCGATTTTACTAATCAACGTATGCGGTATAGTGTGCGCGTTGTTGAGTTACCAAAATAATATACACAGACATCGCTCTTTATTGGGGTGAACTTAGCAAAACTCAAGCATTAAAACTCAAAAACATTATCAAGAAGCGAGAGAGATTTAGTATTTAGTAATATATATTCTATATTGAGATTAAGCTTTTACATCGAACCAAAACGATATGCGCAACTCACCTCATACTAATTTAGTTTTTTGCAAACTTAGGTGATGTGCTAAAACTTTCAAGAGTGAATCACTGATTAGATGTACAATAAACACAAGTAGTATCGGTTGAGAGGTGCAGCTGAATGTAGTTTTGGCTTCGATCCTCTTTACGAGCACGCTTAATTAACGGAGAAAAATTCTGAGTAAATAATTTTTCTTGATTATAGTTTTAGTCTTGTTTAAGTCTGTAAAAGTTCACGTTTTGTTCCTTGAACTAGAGTCCTGCAGGTTAAACCTAAGACTAAGACTGTTTTATTCACGAAAAGTGTGAGTCATCAAAGATCACCGACCTGTAATAATAATGACTCAAGCCAAGCAACATCAAAAGAGTAAAAAAAGAACAATAAACAAGACAACTAACGTTAGGATTAGAAGTAGTAAAAAGAAAAAAAAAAGAAAGTAAAAAAGCCTATAGGTTAGGTTAGGCTGTAGGTTACGCCATTGATTACCTATTTTTAACCGTAGTCCGTATATTTTAATAAAGCGTAGTCCCAGTGGCATTTTATCGATTGAGGATGAAGTTCAGACTGAAGTTCTCTAGTTTAAACTGAACTATTTTTAAACTGAAAAATAGCACAATCAAAAAAGGAAAAAACTTCCGTTTGCTAAAATAGATGGCAAATACACAACAATAACAGTACCTTCGTAGCATCGAGAGCCCAATGTGAAATTCTGGTCTACTCTTAAGAGCGTCTCCCTATTCAGAAAGCTATTTTCCAAAGATTGCATTAAAGAATAAAAGACTCAACTGATTCACTTCTATATTCATGTAAAATGTTATTTATTTTGTATAAGCTTACCTTTCAGACGGTGTTTAGATAAAAAACAATAACGATATGGAACAAACCTGAAGTTTAGGCCTCTGAAACCAGGTTTTGGGAAAAAACTGCAAAAGGTTAACCTAGGTTAGGTTACAAAAACATTAATAGATTAGGTTAGGTTTAAGTTGTGAAAATTTGTATATGTTAGGTTATAGATTGTTAAAAAGTCGTAACCTGCAGGGCTCTGCCTTGAACATGAACGTTACAGCACGTTGGCATTCCTCGAACGTGTAAATCTGTTGTCTGTATAAAAAAATGGATAAGTGAATAATTTGATATTTTAGTCTATTACCTTCTGAGCGCAACTTCTTTGTTGTTTATGGTTCAAGAATGGTGTGTGATGCATTTCAAGCATAAGAGAAGACTGCAAGAAACGTTTTAAACGTGTTACAAAAAGAGACTAGGACAATGAGTAGAAAAGGATACTGAATGTTGAAACTTGGTTTATTAATTGAAACAGTTGAATCTTTTCGATAATTTTATCATTTATAATCTTTCATCATCGACAAACATTATCTTTTTAAAGGACAAATACAAGCACGTTGATCTTCTTGGTCATTCAGAACAAATTTTAGTCTTTTACATTTGATTTTAGATAATCAATGCCGCGTATTCAATATATCGGCCAAGTTAGCAAATCTTTTGGCAATACATTACCAGAATTATGTTCGAAATTAAAAAATTTTGGTATTGGACGAATGTTTATTCGGACAGCGCACGATCAAGATCGAGGTAACTTGTACGCATGTTCAGTAGTCGAATACATACTCTCTTTATTTATTTAGAAGTATCTTACATTATTTTGACAAAAAGTCGTCCAGTTATAACAAAAACACCTCCAAAAGTGATTATAGCAAAATTAGATGAGATAGCAAAATTAACCCAAAAAGTTGAAGATACTGTGAGTACATTTTACGGTATTACTGTTGAAAATGGAGAAAAACGTGGTGAAATGAAATTATCCGGTGTAACCAATCCCGATTGGCGTTTAATACCAAAAGCCAATGAATCTTATTATTTGAAAAATACATTTGATAAAAGTGGAATACATGATTTATCTAAAACCGTTTCAATTCAAGCTCAACGTTTTATTGATATACCACCATTATTATCGACAATACTAAATCGAGAACAAACTTTAACGAGTAAAGTTGATGTACAAAAACCGATTAAAATGCCAAATAAACTTTTTTCTTCCGATAAAACAGCTTAGTCGAATGATGTTTATTTCTCAATTTTTCTTTGTGTTTTTATTAATAAAATGGTAGCATATTTTAGTGTTTGTTCAAAGATTGTCTCGATAGAAAAATTAAGAATTTGACTGTTGAACCATTCTTAAAACTATGTCGATATTTCATCTTTATTCAGTTATAGATCATCTAAACATTAAGAAATATTATATTTCATGTGAAGAATTAAACAGAATAGAATGTTGACATACGATACGATTTCAGTTGGACAACGGGTGGAAGTTTTACATAATAATCAATTATTATTAGGTACAATTGCATATAAAGGTCCAGTTGTTTCACGAAAGGGTATCTGGCTTGGAATCGATCTTAGCACACCAGACGGTGACAATAATGGCTGTTTGTATGGTCGAGTTTATTTTCGCGCTCCTCCAAATTATGGATTATTTACAACAATAGAAAATGTTCGTTTAGCAACAGATTTCATACGAAAATCATTGAAACCATATCGAACAATAAACAAGAAAAGTGAAGTGGATGAAGCATTGTTTGGAAATACAGGTTTGCATTGTTCTACTTTATTGAACAATTATTTCTCTATTGTATGATCTTTTTCCAATTCAGATCCGCCTATTTTACCACAACCATCGCATAATTCAACTATATCGCAATCAATGGTTTCATTATCACTGAAAAACCCCAGAGAACGTGCAAAAAAGAGTGCTTTTGATCAAGAATATAAAAAGTTTCCACTACCGCAATCTCTTGTAAAAAAAAAAGTGAACGATAAATTAAAAAAGAAAATCGAGAAAGCTCCACAGAATATGTAAGTAACAAAAAAAAACGATCGTCCGTATATTTAAAAACAAAATACTCTCTACCATTTTTCGAATAACTTTTGATAGGAAGTAGCTAGAGAGTGTCACTTTTCGTCCTTCGAAAGAGACGTGGGGACATGTTGCCATTGAATTTTTTTGAGACATGATTATAAGATCGAAAAAACTGAAAAATTCCAATTTCTCTGCCGTTTCAAAAGCTAAAAAGCTCAGGAAGGGTTTACAATGAAGCACAGACTCAATACTACAACTTAACAGAGCTGAATTTTTTTACTTTTTCAGTTTAACTTTTTAAAAAAAATTTTTGGAAAAAATAAACAAAAATATTTTCAAAAATCCGGATCGATTAAGTTATAGCGCTGAGTCTTGGCTACATTTTGATATCACTCCAAAGTCTGTATCATTAAAATTGCAGAAGAAACCTGAAATCCACGGACACCTACTTTTTGACCCTTAACATTAAGATAACTTTTGAAAAACTCAATATTTCGAGCTCAAATTTTTACTGTCAGCTGTCTAAGGTCAGATACACACTCTATGAAAATCTCATCAAAATTGGATATTCGGGGACAAAAATAGGTTTTTGACAGGGCTCTCCCTTAAGTGGTTAGTAACTTTTATAATTTTAGGCGAAAACAGCCGAAAAACCCTAGTTTTCAAAAAACTTTGTTTTCGCTGGGTTATGTACTATTTTCTGAAAACAAATCTTACCAAATCTCCTCTTTAGAATGGCGAAAAGCGATACTCTATAGCTAGTTCTTATTAAAAGTTATTCGAAAAATAGTAGAGAGCATTCCATTTTTAAACGAACAATAGTAAAGTAACATAGATACATGTATTTCTTCTTTTCTTTTTAAGTCAATATTCATTTGCCTATGCACCATCCATACCCCAAGTTTTTATGCCACCTAGCGAAGTGGATCGCGTAAAATGGACTGGTTTTGAAGGTCAACACAGTCTACCAAGATACACAGTTGTTTCAGATCAGTATGATTTTTTTAAATTATCTTGTCCGAATGATATTAGTTGATTTTTATAATAATAGAAAAGTCTATTTTTCTAAACCTTTTTAATGACTGAATAAAATACTCAATTCTCTTTAAATCTTTTAATTACTAATTTTAGTTTTTTTTAACATTGTCAGATGTGTTTTGATTTGAGGATGAGTCCATATTTTTTAATAAATAACATTTTTTCTTCTAAAATTGTGTAGAATCATACATCAATGCTTGCCGTAATAGTTAGATTATACTCTGCAATGTTTGATAACACACGCTCAATATCATACAACTAACTCCCTACTTTATTTCTTTCTAAAAACTCGCCCAAAAAATAAAAATAAAAATCAGATCATAAAATATGTCAGAATAAAGTATGAGAAAATGAAGAGGCTACGGTATAGAATTATCTGCTTATAACAACGAAAACAAAATAACAACATTCACATAAAAAATAAAACTGTATATATATATATGTAGATGCACTACTTATTGCACAAAAAATATGTCAACAATCACCAATAAATATGAAAATCAAAATTAAGTTTTATATGAGAAAATAAAAGTTCGATTTAAAGGCACATAAGATCTTTAATTTTCGTCAAAATCGTAAGTGACAAGTAAATGAAATAAAGAAAAAAAAATGTAGAATTACATTAGAGATTGAGAGAAAAAGATTTATAACAATCATCTAATTACTGTTTCTTATTCAAAATAACAAAAATGTATCTATCATTCTCCTATAAGATGACAATAAAATTTTATCTAAATAATATCTGTAGTAACGACTGTCAAATGAGATCACAAATATATAAAAATAAATGTCAATGTAAGCTTCAATTATAGAAAAGAACGTCATTATCTCTAGAATGCAAGCAAATTTTTTATATTCTCTATTTTAAACATTCATATTTATCTGTTTTTCTTTACCATGATTGACTAACATATCTAATAAAATATTTTTTAATTCTCTATTGGATGCATTTGTAGCTAATATAAATAGCCAACGTTCAAATACAGGTAAAAGAACTCGTTGCTCATTACTACTGTGCAAATATTTTGCCAAGTACAAACACAAACTATTCCATCCGTCAATGTATAATTTCATACTGCTCATCAATGTTTTATATGTTGTATGATGAATGTGTAATGTTTGACCGAGATCCGATGAGTTGTGTCGATCATGGATTTGCTGTTGACTAAAAAGAAAACAACAAAAAAAAATGACAAAAACTAAACTAAATTAGCGTGCCATAGTTCATATTTTTTCGTATTTTACAATTATTACTTGATTTTAGATTCATCTGATGATGATGACATTAGAGCTGCTGAAAATGAGCGAGGTATAGCAGATGAGGGTGATGACATTTGTCTTTCTCGTTGTATTGATGTTGATGATGATGAAATTTTTCTGAGCGGGGATACCGATGGTTCTGATTTTCGTTGTTTGTATTCGTTTAATGCTTGATTTATCATATCTTCAGTAACAATAAAATATTGTGTTTCATTCTCTAATGGGGACATGGCTTTTGATATATTTGTATTTCTGTTAACTGACAAATTATTCAAACTATTTTGTTGTTTACTATTTGACTGTTGCTGTTGTTGTTGCTGTTGATGATGATGATCAGGAATAAATTTATCAATCAAATCCTGATCAGCTCGTAGTAAGTAGAGACCATTGTCACCTGGATATGTAATTTTTGCAGTCACTGTGTAAAATGGCGACTAAAATAAAATGTTTTGAATACGACAATTAAAACGCACAATCTGACCATATTGTTGAGCGAAAAAAAAATTGGCCACATCCTTTTTCCTTTAAAGTGTCTATCTCAGAGCTGGGCAACTCAACTCCGGAGTTGAGCGTCTTTTTTTGTGGAGTTGAAATTTGCTTTTTAAACGATCGGAGTTAAGCTGACGACAGATTTTGTCAACTTCAACTCCGAAATTTCGGTTCAAAATGTCTTCAATCCCATTTCCTTTTCTTCGCGAGAGTTCTTTTTATTTGGTTTTTATCTATTTTTGTCGCGAGAGATATAAACGTGTGCTCAGCATATAATAACATATGATAAACTTCACATCTCGCTGCACATGTACCACACTGAAGGAAAGGAAATGCGAAATAATAGTATGATAATAGTATGATACGAAATAATAGTATGATAATAGTATGATAAACGAAAACATGACCTCTGTACGGACGAATTAAAAAACAGGAAGGAAAAAGAACGAATAGATTTCAACTCGGAGTTGAAATAGAGCTGGAGTTGTACCTAGTCGGAGTTGCCCACCTCTGGTCTGTCTAAATATATGTGACTAAACTAAAATTTTATTAATGACAAGTTTGAAAATGAATGTGAACGTGTAGCTTATACCTGAACATCTTCATTTTGTGTATTCATTCTTGTTTCATACTCATTTGAATACTTGTAAATTGTATCGGCTATACCATCACTCAACATCTTGAGAATTACTAACTGATTAGCTGAATTATTTAATGAACACTTGTATAAGTAAGATGAAAAATTGGAGAAAAATCCTTTATTGATTGTTAGATCATGTGTCTTTTTAGGCGAATCTGTTGGTGTGCCCGATTGAGGAAACGATGTATAATAAACAAGAGATGCAGAATCTTCATTATGCAGAGTAATTGTTTTGTCCATATGATGATGATTCATCTAAATTTTATCATACAGTTCAACTTTTTATATCTATTTTATAACAACAACCCTACCTCATTTGGTTTGAGTGAGTCTTGTTTCCATAGTTCAACTGATTCAATTTCAATGTTTTTCAATAGTAGATCAATTAAATATTGGAATGCAATACGTTTTAAATGATAAAATGTAACGGGTATTTCGTATGAAAATAGTTGTTGTAATAGACATTTTAAGCCGATATTGTTTGTTTCATATCGTTCACATAGATCAATTGTATAAGCTAAACAAGATAGAAAATAATATAAAACAGAATTCTCTGTAAAATTAGTATTATTGTTATTTAATAATATTTCACCAATAATATGAATTAATTGTATATGAAAATAATTTGAAAATACGAATGTTTGCATATCAATTTCATTCATATTTGCTTTATTATCAGATGATCGAAATGTAAAACGAAATAATTTTCTATCATTATCATTATTAACTGATTGTGATGTTGATTGTTCATTAAATAATTGTTTACAAAGTAAAAAAATCATATTATCATTATCGTGTGGTGTTGATAATGAAGCATCTTTTGTATATAATCGAACATTCAATAATAAATCATCGGCAGATGATACATTAAATTCATGTATAATATATTCGATAGGTAACGAGGTCAATAATAATGCATGACGGATATTTTTACAACAGATTAATGACAACTTTGAATCAAATTTTGCTGTCAAATTAGTCAATAAATGTTTTATACATGATATACCTAAATTGATGAATTGCATGTTTATTAAAGAGTATCAAGATTAATCTTATCTTATTTGTTTGTACTTACCTAAACGTCCCACATATTCATTTGGTACGACAAGCCAATCATTTAACATTGATAGAAATGTATCAAATAAAATATGATGATATTCATCAACAGTAGATGATTTGTCAAATATTTGTATAACATGTTCTAATAGATTACCCATGAATAGACGCCATGCTGTTAAACTTAAACGTGGCGGTTGTTGACCAGTTAATGAACAACGAAATATTGACATTTTTCGTAATGATGTTTTTTTTAAAAAATTTGAACAAACAAATGATTGTAACCATGGAATAATAACACAAACAATTAAATAAATAGAAAATTGATAATTAACATTTTCCAATGTTACTTTAAGTATTTCAAAATAATGATCAATTATTTTAATTATATAACGATTTGAACAAGAAAATATAGTATCCGTTAAACCTTCAATCATATAGGACCAAACACTTAATAAATGATTTTTATCAATTGAATCTAAATTTAGTGATAAGTATTTTACATCTTTTTGTAAATTTCTCTCAAACATTTGTAAAAAATCCATTATTTGCTCTTGTTGATTAGTTTTCTTAAATTCGTCTGTAAAGTAACCTTTGTTCAACGACGATATATGCGTAAAAAAATCAGTTGAATAATTTATAAATGTACAGTATGTGAATGATGTGGATTCAAAGTGACGTGATCTATAAAATGTAAATGCAAAGATATATAAATGTTTAAAGTGTTAAAATCAGTATGATGTTCTGACTAATCATCATTAATAACGGGTTTGGGGCGGAAGATACGCGTTTGAATGCTTCTAAAATGCACACTGAGATTATTGTGAAAGACATGTGTCTGACTTGGTACGTACAAGAGAAAATTATTACCTTTTTTTTGTTGAAAATATGTACGGTGATGATGGTGACGCATAACAATGTATGAAAATGGTCATAAATTTGTTCATCATGTTTAATGCCGGCATAACCATCTCAATTTGATTTGGCATATCAGTATCATGACTATCTTCTTCATCCGATTCATCAAATGGACTGTTTTGCATTGGTGTCCACGGATCTACAAAATTCATAATAATAATAATAATAAGAGAAAAATAACAATAATAGAAAAGACGTACCGGGCTCTCTTAAATAACGGAACAGACATAACAAACAATCGATTGCCGCTGATGCTATCACATTTAAATTGTCACAGTTGAAAAATGCTTCTAATACTTCCAGCAATGCATTTATGCGATGTAATTCAATACCATCCGCTTCTTTATTCTCTTTTCCACCATCATCTGCATAAATATTTCGTCGTTTTTGTTCAATTTTAACCGTTTTTAAACAAGCAAATACTGAACGCCATCCAGATTTAATATTATTTGTGTTTAATTCAACTAATTCACATATTGAGTTGACAATCTGAAAAAACATTCAAACATATATACACAATTAGACGAGTTTATTTATTCTTTCTTCATAGTTACCTGATTTTCTACTACACTATCACACTGTTCAGTACAAATAAGATGTTCAAATGGCTTAAAGAATTCTTCATTCATATGAAAATTTTGATATTCTGGTCTCACGCTTAAATATGAACGTAACTGTGTATGCATATGACTGATAGCACGTTTAGCAATGCCAATATCTTTATGTGTGGCAACCTGAAATCATTCATTAAAAAAATGAAATTGAATAGTTTAACTTTGAATAGTTTGTTTTTACTTGTATAAACAATTGTGATACAGAACTCCACACTTTGCACACATGATATCGGGGACGCAATGATCCAATGATACCTGACATATTAAAAAAAACAATATGAGTTTTATTTTAAAAAAATTCCTTTTTTCTTTCTTCTTTGTCTTCTATACTTACTAATTAATAAAGCTTATATTAATATATGTTCAAAAGAATTTGAAAAACAATCGTACCTATTGTCATTTCTCCAAGTTTATCAATGATGATATTTGTAGGAAATAAATCTGATGGAGAACAACCATCTTCTTTCGGTAATTGTGTAATACTTAAAACACGTAATTGTTCCAAAAATTCTAATAATGAATCAAGATCAAGTGATTGAACAGCCATTTCGTAGAGTCTAATTAAAATCAACAGTGATTAACTATTTCGTGGACTAATAATGAAACAAGATCAAATTCATACTTATCAGCTCGACACGAGAACGCCTGAAATATACGTGGAGAAAATTTTTCATTAATATGACCAGTTTTATCGATGTTTGCTAATTGTAATAATGATGAAGTATCCATCGTTGAGGATGAAGCACTACAATTATTTATTACATGTTTTTCTCATTCTAGTTTTCAATTCAATCATTTAGAAATTGATCTTACTTTTCGTTAGTTTCAAGTGTCTCATGATTTGTTAAATCAATTTTATCTCTTATGATAGAACAACAGCATAGTTGTTCCAAAATTAATAAATAAACACAACATCTAGATGTCATATAAGAAATTTAGAGAAATTTTAAACGATTTTATCAATTATTTATACCTTAGCGTGTATTTATACGTAACACTTGGATATACTTTTATATCACTCATGATCAAGTCTAGAATAAAACTAATTGTCATTACATCAACATAATGTAAACGGTATTGTTTATGTTTGTTAATATTTTTAATAAGATGATGTTGAAGTGGTCGTTTTAAAATTAATAAATCATTTGTATAATTAATTTTAATATCAAAATTATGTTCGACGGTCTGTAAAACACGTTGTAGTAATGAACACGCGTTATTTGAAAGACCTTAGAACAAAGAAATATTTGTAACGTTTACAACGAAAACAAACTGACCTGACTTCTTGACAAGCTTTGTAAAGGATTTTTTAGTTTTGAGTGGTTCAATATCTTTCACACAGTCGATAATCTTCGAAGATGGAGACCCGTTCTCCGCTACTAGCCATCGAACTCCAGCTCTCGTCGTAAGGCTGATTTAATACCAACTTCTTTTGCTCAGTTGCTTCAGTTCTACATATACACTCATAACCATACAGTGATTTTTTAACTAGAAACTATGTTGTATGTCACAAGCAAAAACGACACAATTTTTTGGGTTATTTATCTAGATTCAGGTCTACATGCATCTAGATGTACATGAAGGCCATTTTTGTTTGGGGAGGTATGATATCCTACAAGATCCGTAGCCAGAGGGTGTGTCCCGGCACAACGGGCACACCCCATAAGTAGAAATTGCTATTTAACTGCTATGAAAACAATCACATTTGATTTCTAAAAGAAATCACTGATGAGATAAGGTTCGAGCTTTTGTCTCTTTTCAAAAGACATTATTAGGAATGACAAGTAAGGTAACGAAAAAGCTACTTCGGTTGCTTAAATGAGTTGTGGCAAAAGATATCTACATTTTTCTCGAGCTTCATTGATGCAAACCGGTGTGAAGATCCTTTTACGTCCTATTAGTTTTCTGAGCCGATCGCTGCCATGCAGACGGTATATTGGAATCAGAACCGGTACAACCAAAAAACAAAATGCAAGAAAACCGGTATATCGCTTTACATCTATAATGCACGACCCCCCTCAACCCCCCAGCAAAATCCTGGCTACAGGCCTGTATCCGACAGACACGTACACATGGTTAACTTGTTCAGGTTATAGCACGACTTGATATCGCCGTGGTTCGAACACAATACTTTTGAAGTACGTGTAACCGTTACACTATGTTTCTTTATAGAATCAATAGAGAATTGACTTACCAACACTAACAGCAAGTTTGAATAAAGTTTTTAAACCAGTAAATACCAGCTGATGTGTTTCGATTAGTCTCTCATTGATTGTGTTGCTATTTATTATGGATGATTGAAATTCACTTGGAAAATAATCTAATGAATGATTTGTGTTTAACATGACCGTGTAGACACCTAAATAGATAAAATAACGCGTTATTCAACGTATATACGATGAACTCATGATACTCACCAAACAAAGAACTCCAGCATATTTGCAATAAACGATAGCCTACTGATAAAGCTTTGAAAGAAAATAGAAACAGTATAGAATAAGTTTCTTTATCAATACAACGGCTGACTTGCTTAACCTCCTCATAACTCTTTTTAATTGTGAGATGGATCTGATTACTCGATCACAATTGATCGTATAGTACAAAACAAACATAAAAGTAACTTAGATATATTGACAGTTGCTATTCCTTCCCAAAATGAGATTTCATTTTCTCGATAACATTATGATAAACAGAGAAGTGAAAGAGAGATTGCATTCATACCTATACATTTTTCTTGGTGAGTTTCGGTCGAACTACATCTGATAGATCGAATATTAAATTGTCTAATCTCTTTAATAAAAAAAATTCATATAAGCCCTTTTTTCTCACTTGTTGTGTTTCTCTTACCAGAGAGCATTTGATGTAAAATAACTTTTGATTGTTTGGGCACATACTGTATAAAATCAAAATTATGACACTCTTCATACAGTATGTTCATCCATTCTGGATCAATATATATCATCATTCCACTATTCATTATATCTGATATGAATGAAGTCTACAAAACGAGAAAAATAAGATTATATTAATGAGAAAAAATGAGAAATAAGCATACTTTTGAATATGTGCCGTTAATATCATCAATTCGTTCAAACAATTGTTGTGTTCGTTGACGTAAACTATACCAGAGTAACCAGATTGTTGCTGCATAAATACCATCAGCATTTGTTACAATTATATCCGATACAGATGAATTTGACATTTTTGAGGTATATTCTTCAATGGAAAAAGAAACGAGTAATAAAAAACAAAAATTTGTATAAAATATATCTTTACCAGAGCTGATAAATGATGAAAATTGTAACAATGCATCGTCCAAATCAGTCACATTAGTTACTTTAATTGTTTTTAGAAACAATTTTAAATGGTATAAATAAAACGTTACTCTTTCCATTGATGCACTATCACTAGACAAACTCAATTCTTTTCCATCATCATTGTTTATAATATCATCTTCTTGTTCATTTATTAAAAGTGGAACAAAGTCAACGGTGTTGACCGTTGGAGCTACTATGTAATAACCGTATTTCAAGTATGCTTTATAAATATATTGTTGTTCATCTGGTTGAAATTTTGGATTCTCAGTAAAATTAAGTATTTGTTCAAGACAATGATTGAGACATTGATATGCTTTGTTGACAAGTAAACGATCGTCAGATGATGTACATTCCATTATTACTGATAATATTCTAAACGGAAATATATGATGGAGGATCAATAACTGATGCATTAATAAAACAAATAGACACTTACTTTCGAAACAGACTTAAATCAGAATCAGTTATTGTCTGATCTTTGGTTGTCATCTGTTGATTGTTCATCCATGATGGAGAAATTAAAGAAATCAATGTCGATGTATTTAAAAGCTAGAATAAAAAGAGTATAACAAATTTTTCTAGTACGAATCGAAGCGTGTAGTTTACTAACATCATCAAGAACGATGAGTAAATCTGTACGTTCATTTATTGTTTGATATAAACTGAGACGATGAATGTGTGTTTCAGACACAGGGCGCAAAGCGTATATTGGTGAAATAAAACAGACTAATTTTAATATTATTCTGAAAATAAATAAAGCAAACAGAGTTAGTCATAATAAAATAGACGAGTAGCGCATTAACATCTTTTACATGAAGAGTATCCGACTTGTAGTTAATGAAAGGTAAAAAGAAGCGAATAGTGTTTTTCATGGGAAAGATAATTTTTCTTTCTATGATAGATATTTTTTTTCTGGCTAATCTGAATTGACATTATAAAACATTATTTACGGGTTCATTACATACATACCGAAAGACAGTTCGACGAATGTGAGGGTCAGATGTATTTCTAACATACATAATGCAGCGTGCGTCAATAATCGGAGATCCAAGAAATGACAGTACACCGGGTGAGTATTTCTTCCTAGAAAATAAAATGATTCTAGAATCAACCTGATATAATGTCGAAAAGAGAAAAAAAGATCATAGTTTTGTTTTTCATAATCTTACCATACAAATTCGATAAAGGGTTTATAACAATGAATATTTCTTGGTAATGAACCGATCATTAAATCATGCAATTCCAAAACAAATATTCTTTGTAGCGTTTGATCGGGCTTTCTAAAAACACAAGAGAAGAATATTTTTGTTAAGTATGTGTGAGAAAAGGAATTTTGAACAAACAATGAATTACCTTGATAATTCATCGATTAATGTTGTATGAAATTCCATAAGAATTAGCAATGATGAAAAATATTCAATCTCATTTGGATTAAGCGATATATCATCGTCTAAAAGGATAATAATGAGGTGAACTATTTTTCTTTCGTATAAAATAAATCATTACCAAATAAGTTATAGTTATCAGTTTTTTTCTACAATAAAAGGGAGATATATCATATTGAAAAACAAACACATTCTATTCAAATCATACCACTACTTTTTGATAGTAATTATAAAAATTTTCTAACTTCAATGCACATAACTGACAAGTCTCACGTCTTAGATCAATATTAGTTGTCCTTAACGTACCAAGAGTGAACTAAAGAAAGAATATTTTAGTGCAAGTTGTTTCTTAAGAGTTAAACTGTCTAATTACTTACTTGAATTAGTTTACAGAGTATCTGAACTGATAAAACACCATCGTACGATCGAATACATTGTAAAATGGTCTAAACAAAATAAGGGATCGTACTCAGATAATGGCTGAATATATATTTAAAAATACTGTACACGTATTCCGTTAACACATTCTCTTTCAATAAACGGTGAAGCATTGTAGAAATTATCGAGAATATAAAGAATAAAGTCGTGTTTATCTTGTACGGAACAGTTTGTACAATTTTGTTCTTCACTAACAAGAAACTAAAAAAGAATATAGCCGTCTTTTTTCATTCCGCTAAAAGAATAAATAGCTAATAAATATACCTCAAAGCCGCGAACAATGAGTAAACAGATTTGTGGTGTTTCTGTCTCCAAGCAACAACGGACAAATTCCATACATTTTTCTCTAAAACATGGAAATCAGATGTGTTATAATACAATTTCAGGTATAGTCGAATAACGAAAAATCATACCGTCCAAAATGTATACTGTTTTTTCCTTGTACTAAATAATCTAGAACAAAGAGGGCGTTGTCTTGAGAAAAAATGCTCTTCAGAATGCATGAGACATACCTAATAATTGTTGACAAAATTCTTTCAGTAATAAATTATTTGTTTTCTCCGCTTCTTGTTTTACAGCATTCAACCATTCAACCATAGTTTTATCTAAAATGTAGTGAAACCACTATGAACTTCGCATTTTTCTCTGCAAACGTTAGGAGGATAAAGTCCAAAAATTGAATAAGGATGGATTCATTTAGTTTGGTATAAACTTTATTTGAAAAAGAAAATCTTAATACAGATCGAAATCGCGATTCAATGGATCACATTGTATCAGTTTGCAAAAGAGTCTTAATGAACGGATGAGTAGAAAAGTTAACAAAGAGACATACAAAAATGAAAGAAGAACTGGAGAGAGAAAGAAAAAGATTGATCGTCAGTTGCAGAGGAATATGATTAAGGAAGAGAATATGATAAGAGATGTTGAAGAGTAGAGTAGTGGTGGTGATCAGATGACCCTACGGACAAAGACAGAGAGACGGCTTCCAATTAATTCGTACAGACATGAGATAGGAATGCATCAGCTTCGGAATCAAAATACAGCAAATCAGGTAAGACACATTAAAAGCGTTTAGTATCCGAGATAAAATCACATATACAGTCATTTAGCTTATTCAATGCAAGAGAAAGACACTAAGGTTCAGAAATCTGAGCAAAATATCAGACAAATGATGTTCGTTTTCGTGATTACAGAAGAAACTAGCGGACAACAAAATAAAATCAGACAGAGAAATTCAGTTATTTCTATCATGACTGTTGAGTATCTAAGTAGTTTCAAAATTTTTAAAGGTAAGAGTCTAAATATTGGTTGACTTAATCTGTTTTTTTTAGCTCCAAGGAGCTATGATCAGTGCGAATTAACGTAAACAGTCTCTCCTGGGAGCTACTATTTGGAGCTCAAAGGAAACAACGGACTTATGTTAATTTATTCATTTTTTTAAATACTTTCAAATTTCTATTTGCTAGCAATTAAAGCGAATCGATTTCCATTATGAATCTTCATTAGAATTCTTTATATAGCAACAGCAGTCGGTTAGTTTAGCCAGTTTGTTACATACCAATAATGAATGAGACTTTTTGTACGGAAGAGTTTTGAATGAGCTATCATTATAATCATTTCCCTTCACATTACTACTTGTGGTGCCACAATCAACATCAGTATGAGAAGTAAGAAAATATATTGACTGAGAATTTGAACATTTTGAGACGATATAACAAGTAGAGGATGGACCGTTACTCATTACTGTGACGAATTTACTTTACCGTTACCAGTAAAGGATAACGATTCAAACGTTATCGTTACCGATAACGGGTAACGGTTTGACTGTATTTGGCTATCAAACATAGTAGATAACGTTGACTTGGCACATGGACATGGGCTAAAAAAGTACACGAAAGTCTCTAAACACTTTTTATGGGTCTTCGTATGTGCTCTTTTCGATGGCGTGGTTTTGAAACTTCCAAAGTATGTTCGTAGTAGTTTTCTTAAGATTTAAGACTAGTTTATTCACGAAAAGTGAGAATCATCAAAGGTTCCCAATCTTTAATATTAATGACTCAAACCAACTACAAAAATGGAATAAAAAACAGGAGAAAAAAAGAAAGAAGAAACTAGAGTGTATAGCTAACGTAAAAAATAAAGTAACGATGAAATAAACACAACTAAAATAGCATTAAAGAGAACAACTAACACAAGTTTAATATGACTAGGAACATGGCTGAATTTTACCGTAAGAGATAGTGAGCTAGTGCCTTTTTTAAAAGACGTTAAAGAAGAACAACAGATCACTGACTCAGGAAGTTTATTCCACTGAGTGATAGTTGTTGCATGAATAGAAAAAAGAAGACCGTTTGAAAAGACAAACCATTGACAGAGGATGTAATGCGAACATATTTAGAATGATGAAAGCGTAAAGAAGAGTAATGAGGACGATGAACAGCGAAAAAGATAGAAAGAGGACTAAGACGATGATAAATTTTGAAAAACTGTACAAGTCGAAAAAATTTATGACGAAGTGAGAGATTTGTAAGGGAAAGTTGTGACACAAATAAAGAGCTAGAAAAGCGATAATCGAAATTACGAGAAATAATACGAGAAGCAAGTTTCTTTTCTACCACATGCCCATGTACCGAGTAAAAACTGATGTGTCCATTCGCTAAAACCGTCGCATTACACTGGATCGAAACATTTTCTGTTCAGAAATACTTCCTATTCACATTAATCGATGCAGTTTTTCATACTGATTCCGAATATCATATTACTTTTTAATATAAGTACTCCTGGACTGAGGAAAATGGAAAATACCTAAAAACCCAGGGATTTTTCGAAAACCTATAACTCGAGTTTGAAAAATATGTTGAAAAATAGATTTGTATGGCTTGATAGTATTAAAAGAATTATGAATTATATATAAGAACAATGCTCGCAGTTAACATTTTAAGTCAGAATTCATATTAAGCAAACTTGAAAGTTATTCATTTGATTTAATCGTTACCTGTTACAGTAATGATAACGCTGGAATCGTTACCGTTACTAGAGTAACGGAAGTAACGGTTCACCCCCTAATAACAAGAAGATCCAAAAGTGACAGTGCAAAAGCTCTGTATGACCTTGTTGTTTGCAAGTTGTGCATGCGTGAATCGAAATCAAAATTGAAAGTACATGAATATGTGCGAAACATTCTCATTACTGATATGTTCAATAAGTAAGTGCGGTTGTCTCTGCTTTGTGATATTTTTCAGTTCGTTTTCTCTAACAGAGTAATTTTCAATGGGTAGTTGGCGTGTAGATACGTGATTGTAACATGATTTTGTCGAAAACTGATATTATATTTTGAAGATATTATATTCCGCTTGTGAAAAGTTCCGCTCAAGTCTTGGCTATCGAACAGCGAAAATCGCAGGTCTCTATCAAATTTTTTGAGCTTATGCACTCGGACTGGACTGAACTCATACTTTCAAGACCATGGACTGGTCTGGACTAGAATAAAAGTTAGGATAGAATAGAATATAGAAAGTGACTTGTTTTACAGACTGATTTTTTTTCGTCCGATAGCGCAGATTATGAGCAGTTCGATAGTGGAGTATGGTCAGAATTTGTGGCAAAGTCAGAGACTCTACTAATAGTCTTCGATTTTCTCTCCTGTGCAGCGCGCAAACGGGTATCAAAACTAGAAACGAAGTGTATTTTATTAAAATGTTTAAGTAGGGGTTTACAAATAATCATTTCGACGGCATTACTAATATTACTGTGAACGATATTGTTTTTAAAAATTCCTAGCAAAAAATGCATAAACAAACAGCCATCGGATATTTTTTGTTCTTATAGAACAGTTGTTTTTCTGCGATAACAGGTCTCTTTTTTATTTTTGAAAGTGAAGTGAGAACACTTCCGAAGAGAAAGAATACACACGAAAATAAAAAACTAAAGTGAGGAGTGTTTTGAATGATAAAGACAAAGAGTTTTACGTTTTATTCTAACTTTAATTAGATATAAAAAAAATTGATCGGTTCGGTCCGGTTCGGTTTCAGAAAGTTTCGATTCGATTCGGTCCAGTTGCGGAAAAACACGAACCGATCCCACCTCTGATGCGTATTGATGTATATGGTGTGCTTGGGAATTCTCTCTTATTTTCTGACTAGTTTAGGTCACCAACTAAGTTAGGTAACGATCGATTGCAAATTCTCTATTATTTTGTGGCTATTATCGAAATTTAAAAAGAATGCACTCCGACCAAATGGTTATAACTTTTCAACGAAGAGAGCTACAGATCTACGGTTTGCAGATTCTGAAGCAAGGCACCACTCTGGGACGTAAGGCCAGGAACAAATCAGCGCGCCCGATCAGGTTTACCATGGTGTACCGTTCGAGACAAAACCCGAAAGCTTACCGTTTCCAAACTACACGATGACATCCAATCTCAAATAATAGCAATCGATAGCCAAAACATTTCTCTTCAAAACTACACAAAGCCCAGGTCTTCATTTCATTTGGTTCCGCAGATACAGACGTATTCCAAGGACATATCTAGATCGTTGCAGACGGGTCTGGAAATTTCAGAAGTATGTGGATCATAGGTAATCGACCATGCTGATCATCGTGGCGATGTTGGTTTCATTCCCCATTCAACCACAACTTCAAAAAATTCGCTTTGATGCAAAGCCGGTTTTTCGCCTGTTACCGTCTAAGACAAAAACCGTATATTTCACTCATTTCCCGTCCAAAAAGACTGAAATTTTTAGGGACCGATTAGTAGAGATCATAGAATGTAGATACAGTCGAAAAAAGCTGATCTGAGCTTTGGTTCCGCGGAAGGTTTTCCCGAGATCTGCTAAAAAATCGTATGCATAAACCGAAAACCTTATCTAATTTGTTCGACTCGGTCTACATTCTATGATCTCTGCCAATCATTCCCTGAAAATTTCAGTCTTTTTGGACGAGAAATGAGTGAAATATGCGGCTTTTAGTTTCTGACGGTAACAGGCGAAAAACCGGCTTTTCATCAAACTGGGTTTTCCATGCCAGCTGTTTTCGAAGAGTTTATTCAATTCATATCTTTCTAAACATATAACTCCGCTTCGACATGAAGTGTGCATTTGCTATAGGAGCAGTCCGAAAGTCTACATACACTTTTTTTATAGGTTTTCAGATATGCTCTTTCCAATGGTTTGCTTTACAAAGCTCAAAGAGACTTTCATCTGGGTTCTTAGGAGACCAGGTCTCGGAAAAACTCACACATAAGTATTCTGGAACTTTATACGGCGCAGCGTTGGAAAGAGCATGTCTGAAAACCTGTAAAAAAAGTGTTTGCAGGCTTTCGATTGTTTCTATAGCAAATATCAAAATCCTTAGCCGAAATCGTTAAGCTGTGCTTCGACTTTATCGTTTCATTAGATCCAACAAGTTTTTGCTCAGAAAAACCTATTAATCGCAATCATTCGATGCAGTTTCTTGCGGTGATTCTGAATATGTCAGTTTTATTGAATAAAAACATTTCTGGATCGAGATAAACGAAAAATAATTGGAAAAGCTAGGGTTTTTGAAAACCCATATCTAAGTCCGGGAACGTTTATGCTAATTTATGCTAACTGTGCTGATAGAGAACATGTAGAAGAACATTCTGTAAAATTTTGGACAAATCTGAAGTTAGGCGGTGGAGGGCGCGCAAATTTTACTGAAACTAGCAGTTCGGAAAACCATTTAGGAAAAACTTTTATTTTTTGCTCAGCAATCTCTCATTCAAACTCAAAATTATTTTTACTGATGTATACTAAATGATGTGGAGATTCATAATTGACAACTCATTTGATTACTGGGGTGTTCGTTTTCGCGTAAAATTAATTTTCCTACAGATGACACTATTTTCAGACTAGTTTTTAAGTAACGGGTTTTCCAGTCCGCTTGAACTTTATAACAAAATTTTTTATACCATCGGATAGAGCGTGTCTTGAAGTGTATTGTTTACTATTTGAGTCGTTTAAAAGTCGGTTTTGATTTTTTCACCTAATGACCGCCTGAGTGCATACTGTGCGGGGGGGGGGGAGGAAGATCCCATGAGAGTGAATCACGATCATTAGCTGACCTCGATGATGACCTGAACTGCTATCCGTTTCATAATGCAACGTACTGGGTTGTTTTTTGAGTGAACTAGTCCGAAAACAAAAGAGAATTCGGAATCGATCGTTACCTACCTTCAATAAACCTAATCTCAATAAATGCACTCGCATTATACGATAATGTACGAAATGACGGAGACTTATTCTTACTGAAAATAATTGTAACCGCCTGTCACAACTCTTCTGTCTTTTTTGATTCAATTCTTGATCATAATGTAAATGCTTTATAATACCAAACCTACTACTTCGATCCACACCCGTAGCCAGGATTTTTGCGAAGAGGAGGATCGACTTTTTTTGCCTTCAGAGGTAGTGCGAGGTCTTACCAACTAGCAACTTTTTCTGACGGGATTCAGTGTAAAGAAATCATTTTTTCAAAAGTCAAGGAGGACCGGTGCCCCAATCCCCTCTGGCTATGACTCTGCTTCGATCAAACTTTTTACTTTATTATTAAATGTAAAGTAAAGTAGGTCTTTTACTGTTACTTATTACTCCCTTTCCTCTCTTCATTCACAAGTTGTTACTTTCAACGATGTTCAAAATACATCAGTTTTGCTGCCGACAGTACGAAAGCCGATAATGATAGCAGTACAAGAAAGACAGTTGATGAAGCCAGAAAAGTAGCTCAGCCAGCTAAAAAGTTGCTAACTGTGTGTTTAAAAAAACAGAAAAGAATACGTGTAGTAGAAAAGCTTCGATGTGTACGATGAATCCATTTAACATCAGTGATCCACCCGATGATTGGCCAAATGCACCTAAATTATTCATTGATAGGATTCAATTAACTGCCCAGGACTTTAGAGCACACGTTAGTTTAACGACGAATGCTGCATCGTTAGTTTCGATAAACGTCGGTATTGATATTACTATTTCAACCGTTAATTTAACTATTTTAGGTAATCCTACTCTTGAAGAATAAGTTGATTCTGTGCAGTTTTCACATTCATCATTATTGTTTCACCAAGCTGACGTACAATTTGCTATTCGTCTAGATTACATTGCAAAAATTGTAAACAGAATACTGGCATCATTAGATCTTAATCCTCTCTTATCATCTACAGTTAATGAAATACTAAATACTGTGAATAATTTATTAGACACGTTCACATCCAATGAACAAACAATTAATCAAATAATCAATGGTGGTATTTATTATCGTCAAAATCTACGTTGAAGAAGAGTAATTCTAGTTTGTCGGTTAAAATATAGATGGTCAAATTGTTCAACAAATACTCAGTTTAGTGAGAGAAGTTATTAATTCTAAAATTATTGGTAACTTGTGAAAAACATGAGATATACTGTTCTCAGCTAAAAGTCAGCAAACGGCCAAATAGTTAAACAATACAGATATTTAAATCAGTCCGGAAATTCTGCATCAATTAAGACATTGGTGAATATTTTATTCAACGCTTCAGGACACGTTCTCAGTACAAATGTTGTTAAGTCAACTACAACAAGCAATAATTAGCATTTTTCTAAATAATACATGAGTTTAAATACGAAATTGTAAACGCAAAATAGATGCATCTCTTATTTAACAGTTAGATTATAGTATATCGAGTAATGTTAGTGACCTACAGACATCGAATATAAGCGCTATTATATATTTTCATTATTCTTCCGTAATATAACACAAATTCTTTGTTATATAACATCACTGATCTGATATCATAAATAAAGAAGTTACTTGCTTCGAGATGACTATTTTATTCGTTGCATAACTTTTATCTGGGGCAAACTTCAAAGGAGCGTCATAATCCATCAAATCTATAAAATATAGAATATAATACAGTAGAAAAACGTATTCTTCAAGCTTTTAGAGAACTCGAAAAACAAAGTCATTTGTCCCATACTGATAACTGATTTGAGTTCTTCCACTTTGTAGAAAACTCGTATGAGCTATCTGGAAAACCGAGAACGTAATATGAGTTTTTTAAAAGCTCAAATTTAAAACATCTTGTTTTAAACTCGTCAGAGACCTCAAAACCAGTTCCCTATATGTGACAAATGAGTTCTTCATTTGTTCACAGCCTATGTATTTTTTATACACATAAAATTCCAATTTCCAGTTACAAAGCAGTAATTAACAATTAAAGAACTCAATAAAAGTACTTAGGAAAGTAATTTAGGAAAGACTTAAAAGGTGCCATATATTGTTGATCACGCCAAAAAAGTGGTCCAGCAGAACACTGATGCTTTGAGGTTTTTCAGAAGGTTCTGGAAAACCTTAAACCAATGCCCGGCTGAAATCCACCTTTTTCGTCTTCCATTATGCTTTATGAGCTGTCCTGAGCGTTTCCTGAAAATTTCCTTGAGTCAGCATGAGATTTGATCGAGATATAAGGATTTTAATTCGTGCTAGTAACAGGCGAAAAAACGGTTTTTCACAAAAGTGCCTCTGGCGAAGTTATTGTCATTTCTACATAAAAACAAATGTTGCCACTATGCTCAGCGTAGTCGATTACCTATGTTCTATGGCATTTTGAGATTCCCAGAGATGTCTGCTCGGAGATAGACACGTGCTCCGGGAAAGCGTATCCTGTCCGAACGACGATAGCTGGAGAGCCGGGACTTGCATAATTTTGTAGAGTAACGTTCGGACTATGTACGCATGCAAATAAATTACTAACATTGTGTGTTAGTTTTCTGAGAACGGAGCTAGTTTTCAAAAGCCCCTCTGGAAACCCGATCTTTGAAATTTTTTCAAAAGTTGTTTCCGCTTGTGAAAAGTTCCGCTCAAGTCTTGGCTATCGAACAGCGAAAATCGCAGGTCTCTATCTCATTTCCGTCAAAAGTTATTCAAAAAATACCCATCCGCACTGTATTTTGGGATGGATAGTGGAAAGTAAAATAAACATCACAAATCTAACTTTTTAAAGAGTTATTGTTTTAAGCTACTTTTAGGGTGGACAGTAACGATGGGCCTATTGCATGAGTCAATCTCGGCTATACCATAGACAGCCGAACCATTTTTCTGAAAATGGACGCTTAAGAGTTTGAAGGCCATGGTCTATCCGTGAGCCACGCCAAAAAATGTCCTATACAGGTGCAAGTAAAGCTCAAACCTTGAGGTTTCCACTACCAAACCAAAAAAAATATTCATTCTGAAAAACATATAACCAGCAAAGATGGGATCGGTTCGTGTTTTTCGGCAACCGAACCGAATCGAACCGAAACTTCCTCAAACCGAACCAAACCGATTTCCGAAAAACTCAAACCGAATAGTCCCACCTCTGCTACGCATTACGATCATCCTTTGGATACCGAAATGAATTCCCAGCGAATGCGAATTCATTTTTTAAAAAATTAAATTCTCGGCGAATGTGTATTTTGCAAGCTATGCGTTTATTTGTTCAATCAGTACACTCGTAGTGAATCGTAATAATGACAATGAATTAATCAATTAGTTTGATTCTTCAATATAAATTTCAAATTTGAGCGTACATCTATGCCATCTTAGTAACAAGAGTCAGATAATCGCTAATATTATTAGTTATTATAAACTGATAAAATACAATGTTGAACAACTACGAATAATTTACTCTGAGCTATGGTAAAGTTACTCGTAACTTAAAGTAAAGCACGTCGAGTTACTTGGATGGAAAGGTTTCTATGACTATCCGATGAATATTGATTGACTGAGTTACACGCAATTTAATTTGTGGTACAGTCCAGAGGTGGAACATGTCAGAAAAACGACCACTTTACGGAGAAATTATTAAAAACAAGAGAGTTAAATAAAATAACATCGCTGTCGAAAGCGAAACTGGCACATTTTATATTCAAAACCTAATCTGAATTGATAAGCACATGTTAAGTGAACGTTTTCATTATGGAATTTCGTTTATAAAATTTCATTCTTAGGCTATTCTGTTACGGCTGCAATCAAACTGCTTGCAACTCAGCCATACTATACTCATCGGATGGTCATAGATAGGCATGCACCAAACCGATAGTTCGGTGACCGAACGGTTCGCAACCGAACATGTTCGGTCACCAAACGGTTTTCACCGAACGGTTCGCTACTGAACATGTTCGCTGCCGATCAGCGAACCCTAGCTTAGGATGACTGCATGTCTGATCTGGACTAAAGGTAAATTGAATGAAATTGAAGCTTTTGAAGGAAGTAACCAGTGAGAAAATAGATTAACTAAAGCACAATGTGAGCGAATGTGTCTTCTACCGGATCGCTATCGAACGTGTTCGGACGAAGATTGTAAATACGATAGTTTATATTTTTCTCATCAGAGACATCGACGAGCGCTCTGCTGACAAACTATTAGGACAAAGTACCATAAACCTTATAAAGATACGTTCAAATCAGAGCTGCAACTGTCTGTCTACTTTTTTCTGCACAGTGAGAAAAACCATTTTTGCATGAAAACCAAGTAAATCAATCTGCTATACAGAGGCCACGTTAGTAAGTAATTAGAGAGTAAATCAGATATAATGAAAACTAAAGGTTCCTGGAATAAAGTAAACATAAATTTGTTGCTCTGATTCAAACTTTTCTTTACATGACTACCTACGGCTACGGCGTAATCAAGGCTGCTTCTCCGTTTGGTGTAATCTTCACCATTTTTTCTGTTTTACAAAGATTTCTTTCATGTATTTCTTCGTTCTCATGTTCTTAGCTTTGACAAACTATTTTTTTTAAACCTTTGGTAGCGATTCAGTAGAAGACACATTCGCTCACATTGTACTTTAGTCTATTTTCTCACTGGTTAGTTCCTTCAAAAGCTTCAATTTCATTCAATTTGCCTTTAGTCCAGATCAGGCATGCAACCATCCCAAGCGAGGGCTCGCTGATCGGCAGCGAACATGTTCAGTAGCGAACCGTTTAGTGACCGAACATGTTCGGTAACAAACCATTCGGTGACGATCAGCGATTCCTAGTTTGGGATTGTTGCATGCCTAGTCATAGAAACATTTTCATCCAGGATAGCTCAACATGCTCTAAAAATCGGTTTTCTAGAGATCCTATATCGACAAATTATAATGAAACTGGCATATACATCGCTTCTAGTTGTAAACTCTCCCAGTTATTGAAATCACTTTCCGGGTTTGTTCTTCTTATTACAATTGAGCAAAAAACGTTAAAATAAGTCGCTTCTATAATTATTGAACAGGACTGTGTACTGGATTTGGTTTCGTGTTTGCCACTCGCGTATAATTTATAACACATTAAAGAGCTGTTGATACCAATTTTCGTGTTTTCGTCAAATTTATTTCCTAAAGGAAGACAAATTATAAAAAAACTATAAAAAAGTCACTGTTACAAGTAAAACGTAATAAATCAAAAACAAAATGAATAAAAAGCAACAGCTAACATTTATAGAAACAAAAAGTTAAGTGGAAAAGATAATGAAAGAGAGTTTGGCTATCATTACATAAAAAATATTAGTTAAGATAATTTTTCTCCTAGTGATGACATAGAAGAACTATCTGTTAGTATCAAACCAACTTCATTAAACAATGGATTACAAACTTCCACCTCATCGATCTAAATAGACGCAGTTCAATTTGTATGAGAATTGCAGCTTTTTTAGAGAAGTGAAATGTTAGCTAGGGATGTTCGGTTTTCGGTTCAGAAACCGAAACCGCGATTCCGATTCTCGAGTTAGAACCGAAACGAAAAGAACCGCGGTTCTCGGTTCTAAGCTTTGAACCGGAAAAGAAATTGTTGTGTAGAAGTGTACCCTATGAATGTTAAACCTAACTTTCTCGAAATAATTATATTGTATCTCTGGTTAAAAAAGCCATGGTTCCGAAAAACAAGAACCTCCTCATACGAAATCGAACTGAAAACCGAACATCCCTACTGTTGCTTACCCAGGCCATTCCAGGACACTCGTAAATGGTATAATCACTATCTGATTGTGGAGTAAGACAGGATTCGTTTGAATTTTGTTGTGTGCTCTCCATATCCAATCTGTAAAGATACCTGCGTATTTTATTTACATCTTTTGATTTAAGATGGACAAATTAGAAGTCAGTGTTAAAGCTTGAGCAGTATTAACTCATTGTGTCTAAAATGCAGGGTCACAAATATCGGAGGATGGGCACCCTTTGAATAATTGATAATTTTATCGTTTTTTCCAGCGAAAGGTTATTAAAAACTTAGTTTTTCACAGTGCTTCTCTGGATTCTATTCCATGGATTATCTTTATTTGATTCGCACTACCTCGGAGACACATTCAGGTTTACCCCCTGTAATATTCAATGCGTATTTGCAACACTACTAAAGTGCCGACTAGAGCAAAACCGTTTAGCCTGGTGTAATTTAAACAATTTGTTGTAGTATTTTTCAACCAAACTCGATATTGAAATACCCACGTGAACTTAAAAAATGACTATTTTACTTTTCTTTCTCTGTCAGTTGTAATCGCATTTGCTGATAATGAGATATTTGGGCGTATTCTGCTAATTTTGTATCATTCATTATCGAATTTGTTGGTATTCTGATAGATTGTTTTGTCGAATCATTGTAGTCGAAATCAATATTATCACTTTGTATTCTATAGAAACAAAGAACGAAGAATGCTCGCTATTTCCAAGATTACTAAACTTCTATTTTTCAATATACGGGTTTCTCGGATCTCCTACCACTTACACTCCGCAAGAACGAGCATAGTCAAGGAAAAATGATTACTCTGCTCACCTTTTTTGGTGTCCGGAACTTATAAGTCTGACTTGTCAATTTAGAGTGGTTCAATATCTTTCACACAGTCGACAACCTTCGAAGATGGAGACCCGTTCTCCGCTACTGGCCACCAAACTGTAGCTCTGTTCACAAGGCTGATTTAATACCAACTTCTTTTGCTTAATTGCTTCAGTTCTACATATACACTCATAACCATACAGTGACTTTTTAACTAGAAACTATGTTGTATGTCACAATGTAGTAAGTATGATATCTGATCAAAGAATGGTCTCTTCAAGAAATAAAATTGAAAAGTTACGTCGTGAGTTTACCTGTTGTAGAGAATAGCTGCAATCAACAATCCAATAATGCCAAATAGACTGCAAACTCCAACAATAACTAAAAGATATCATGAGCTACATGTTACTGCGTGTCTATTCTAAAGTTTTCATTTTAAAAAATTACCAACAACCGCATTTTCACTCATGTCATATTCAAATCAATCTAAATCTAAGAACAAACTTTAGAAAAAATGTTAGAACGTTTGGCAGTAAGAAGAACGCCACAAAATGTCAATTCCATTATATCTTAGAATAATTGGAAGGAGTGACTTGAAGTGTATTTCATTAATTCACCCTAACGAACAAACAGTCCGAGTTTATTCGAATCAATAAATTATAAGCAAATATTTCTGCCAACGTTTGTTATTTGTGCTTCTATTCATTTTCTTTTCGTAAATTTTAATCAATTATCTAAATTATACTACTAAAAGTACTAAAATACAATTACAACAAAAAATTGGCGGATTTGAATAAAAAACCACTGAGTACATATACATTTAAAATGTAAACTTAAACTGTCTCCCTCCACTAGAGAAAAAACTGACTTGAAGAAATTAGAATCTGTATTGTACAAGTAATTAAACAAAATCTCATTCAGATCAATATAAAGAGAGATTTTGACACGTCAAGTATTGAAGACAAATTTCAGTTTAATTCCTTTCTCAACTAAATTATGTTCAGATCGAACTCAAAATTTTTCAGATCATTTTAATAAGCTATGTAGATAAACGTGAATGAAAAACTTTTGCTAGATGTTTTCTCATCGAAGTGGATAAATCTGGATGCCATAAATCAACTGTTAATATGTATTGTTTATAATTTGTATTATTGACATATTGATGTGCAGCCGAATCATTGTAAGCTACCATATGATTATTTTCTAATGGTAAACGTTTATATTTATTAGCAACGATATAAACTTCCTTATTATCTGAATCTTGTGCTATACATTGTAAACCCAAATGACAACGTATACGACAATTTGTAACACCGTATTCTTGTGTATCCGATGGCAATATCATTGGGTCTAAACAAGTGATCATAACATTTGCAAATAGACAATCTGCATTTGATATTATAGCATTTGGTAATGTTTGTAAAAGTTCAAATGTTTGTGGCATTAATTTACAATTCAATTCATTTTCCGTTCCATTTTCATACAAATAAAATAGTGAACGTTTATTAATCGGATCAATTTTCCATTTTCCATTGTTTTGTTGCAATAATATAATAAGTTCCTGACGTAACATGTCGTATTTATCAAGTAAAATTGCACAATCACGGTAAGTTTTTAATAAGTTTGCATGTTCAATATAATATAGTGTACTGCTGAGACCACGATGATAATAGATCGTGGGCTTTTCAATATTTTTGGATAGTAAACGTTTATGTTCTAAGAGATTTGTTAATACGAGAGTATTTAATCGTTCTGCTTCTTCTTTCGATTCTTTTGTTTCACCGACACGATAACTGTTGAAATCATTACCTTCTAGAATTCTTATTACACGTTCTCTCATCGTACCAGAACCGAGACATTTAGAACAAAACGGATTTGGACAATGACGATATTTTAAGACATATTGCAATAATACACGATAAACACAAATAATTACGAAAACAATAAATAAACGAAAAAACCAGACTTGCTCACGCATTAATTCGACAGAATCTGTCAGTGATTTGAACATGACTTGAGTAAACAAAAATTAATCAAAATATGAAACAAAGAACAATAAGAAATTGCAATTATTAATCTATTTCGGTAGAAATCCTAGTAGTTGCTTCTCACCACCTGCTCGATTGTGATAATAGTACAACTTTTTCTTAATTATAGTATTTTTTCATTGTACTTTAGAGTAGAAAAAAATTTGATCTTTTATGTGCACTTTTATGACCAACTATTAATTTCATCCATAAAATCATCAAAACTCAGTTGCATATCCAATGCAAAATGTGATGAAAGACAATAACTGAAGTATCACAAACAAAAGATAAAATATAATTGCTTGAACTCTCAGAAATCGTGCAAACTAATCCAAAATGATAGATGGGTAAAAATTCTTTAACTCTTTTTGATGTTCGTCTTTTTAAAGTTTTTCTCTTTAAAAGTAGCATGAAAATGTTTCCTTAAATTCAACAACAGCACTGTTTTTCTTTTTCTCAAAAAAGACTGCTGAAAAAGTCTTATAAAATAACCGTCGTTTATTAAAACTAATTTTCAGACATTGATCAGTCTTCTTTATTCCCATTGGTTCATTTTTGAGCAACGAATAGAGGATCACAACCATTTCTAAAGTTGCTTTAAGCACGAAAAAGTTAGTGTTTTGAGCCGCTCTCTGCATTAAAAAAGTTGTACACAACACCAGACAAGAAACGATCAAAATTTTATCTATTACACAGACAGGACCGCTAGTCCAATTATTTCAAGGAGACTCATTTTATCGCACTTAATATAAAGAAAAAGTGTTCAAGGGCAGAATCATTAACATTTTAAGAAGTCCCAAGGTGTCTTCCTGTGTCGTCAAAATCGTCAAGTTTCGATGATTAATTATGATTCTTAAGAAAACCAACGATTAATTGCGATTTCTAAATAGTAAAAATATCACACAACTATTTTGAATAAAAGACTTTAACTTCGCATTTTTTTTCGCTTGAGGACGGGGAAAATAGCACTTCTGGGTCATTCCGAACCTGAATATTGGGTCCTGTGTAGCATATAAAGATAAAAAGATAAATAAAAAAGATAAATTATTCGATCCAATTGCTGCAGCCACCATCTATACCAATCGGATCAGATAATTTTTCTTTTTTAATTCTCTTTTTATCTTTATTTATTATATAGGACCGAAAATTGGTTTCAAAACTTGCATAGTATGCTTCAGCATAGAGATTCCGGACCCAGTTTCTATTGGCTGATTAGTTTTGACCAGTAGAAAAAAAGAACAAGACACCGTTATTTGTCCTGTGTGTATGCGTTGTAAGAAGTTACTTGTCAATAGTACGTAACTTCAGCAGCTGTTGAAAGCTACACTGTCCCGGAAAAGCATACTTTTAGAAAAAGCACACTTAAATTGTGCCAATCGCATGGGAAAAGTGTGCCAAAGTATGCTTTTTATGTGCTGTTAGCATGCTTTTACCGTGCCATTGACACATTTCTAGTGTGCTTTCGGCACACTGCGGTAGCATTTTTGGGACGCTTTTTGTGTGCCACTTCTAAAAGTGTATCATCGGCACATTTTAAGTGCGCTAATGACGCACTTGAAGTGTGCCGATGATACACTTTTAGAAGTGGCACACAAAAAGCGTCCAAAAATGCTACCGCAGTGTGCCGAAAGCACACTAGAAATGTGTCAATGGCACGGTAAAAGCATGCTAGCAGCACATAAAAAGCATACTTTGGCACACTTTTCCCATGCGATTGGCACAATTTAAGTGTGCTTTTTCTAAAAGTATGCTTTTCCGGGACAGTGTAGCTGCCAAAAGAAAAAATGTGTAGAAATCAAATACGGTCGACTAAACAATGAAAATTTCTCAACTTTAGGTGCTTGTTTCTAGTAATAAAGCACCCCATAACTCAAGTATCACCAAGTCTCTTAATAAAAATAGATTTTGTGAGAAAATAAGAAGAAAAAAGTTGAAAAAGGGTTAGACTTGGTCCTCTTGTAAGACAGCTCTTCTTAAAGAACTTCCAACCGTCTCGGATGATTTTTGCCTGTATTCGTAAAGTCCGTTACTCTTTCTCTTCAGCTAATCCTGTTTCCTTTTTTTTGTTTTTTAGACTTTTGCTATTTTATTTGTTAGAAATGTCGCAAACCGGTAAAATGTACACAAGAAGAGTGACAAAACAGAGACAAACAACGAGTGAATTATCAACAAACTGTGTATAGTAGTTCTGATAGTAATACAGATTCAAGGACTGATTTTTTTTCTTCTTTTTCCAAAAAACCTCAATATTCTTTTCTTCTCTTGAACTGTATTTTGTATTTGTGTGTGTACCTAGGAAAGTTTTCGATTTTTTTTGCCATGTGGATCTTCTTTACTTGTTGTTTTGCTTGAAATAATAATCAACATAAAGTGGCGAAAAGCACTTTATATCAGAACCAAAAGTAACAATAAGTGAGAAAAAAGAAAAAACCAAAATGGTTTGCGTAAGGATCGAATCGGTCCATCTTTATTGATTAGAGGAAAAAATCGTGGATTAATCGCGATTATCTACGAACGTCGTTAGTTTGACCGCTTTTATCGCGATATAATCTCGCAATCAATCGACATAATAAATCGCGGAAAATCATTGATTTTCGCGCGATTTTCATAACATGCATTAAGTCAACGCTTGATGTAAGATCATATTTCATATGAGGTTGAAACAAAATCAAGTCAAAACGAAGACTTCTGTCAATGGTAAGATTTGTAATAAAACACCAAGAATTACGTAAACGTCTAACTAAAATTAATCTGAGACTCAAGTGCAGACATAAGTTTAGAGGCGGTCAAGAATATTGATGAAACATTTTCAGGAGAATTTTACTGAAAACCTAAAGTAAAAACTAAATTATATGTGAAGTCTTATATTTTAAGATAAATTTAATATAAAGTTCTTCGCAATTTGAGTTATATTGTGAACAGACTAACACAGGTGTTCAATTAAGATGAATACAAATCAATAACTTCATTTTGGTTTATATTAATTTAGGTTCAAGATTTATTGTGAAAAACATTTCATTAGTGGTAAAAGACGCAGAAAACAAAAGTTCTGAGCTATCTTTTTGTTTATAATTGAGTCGATGAGAAAAAATCTTCAGAAATAAGATAAACATAAAAGGCTTGTGAGTTTCCAGGACGTCGAAAACGATGTGATTAACTGTCTGTCAGATATCTATTGATAATCCATCGAATGTTGCTAAACAGACATTTTTGGACTGTTTTTCAGTATTCAAACTAGCAACGCATCAATATCTATAAGTAGCAGTTTTTTACGTGAACATTTTATTATGTCCGTTTAAGGCCATTTTTGCATGGGCTGCTACAACCTATTTTTCGAACATTTTCTGATGACACTTTCTTGCCAATTGATAACCTCCCAATGATCTCAAAAAAATTCAAAAGAATCAGGGGCAAATTCATATTAGCTATAACAGCGAAACAAAAGGGTGAATGGTTGTTAACAAGTGATTAAACGCTGACATTTAATTGCTAAGGTTAAATACCAGTTGTCTTTCTGATTAATTAATTGTTCCAAAATGGCATCCTAACAGGCAGTTATCGGATAATGGGAATTTTAGTTTTCGATACATACAGTTCAATGCATGTTTTTAGACCATGATACACGATGAAATAAGGGACAAGAGACGGTATCTGTTAACAAGTGGTTTTTTAAAAGTTTTTAGCCAGTTAAGAGTATATTTTTCAGTTGTACAGTTAACAGGCTTTGCATGAGTTATTAAACGTTAGTTTTTGTTAACATGGGTTGATAAGATATAGAAGGAACATAATAATAGAACGGTTTGTAAAAAATCAAAGCGCGAAGAAGTTTACTATAGTACAGCTCTTTTTCAAGCGCATGATTTCTTGCTCATGCCAAACGCTTTTGTTTTGACTTGAGTTTCTGGAGTTCGTACACAACCCTAAGTAATTCTCACCGTTTACAAGATCAAGAATCTCATGCGCACCCAAGCAAACGTAAAAAAAGAATCAACCAGCATGCCGACTAGTCATAAGTATCGAATTTTTGTTTTAATTTTTCTTCTCAATTTGAGTTATATTGTGAACAGACTAAAACACGTGTTCAATTAAGATGAATGCAAATCAAAAACTTCATTTTGGTTTATATTAATTTAGGTTCAAGATTTATTGTGAAAAACATTTCATTAGTGGTAAAAGACGCAGAAAACAAAAGTTCTGAGCCAACTAGTCGGAATTTTGGTCGACAGATCGGATTGCCAATTAATCTGAATTCCTAAGTATCCCAGGTCGAACGATACGGTCCATATACGGACCGTATTCGGATCGTCTACTGGACGCAGGAATACGGACCGTAACATCATTAAAATAGAGCCGTATACGGTAGTATTTTCACAATATACGGCCTCGTAAACGGTATCGTTTCTGGGCACAGTAATACGGGGTCGTATACTGTGAAAATACGGCCGTATACGGCTCTATTTTAATGATGTTACGGTCCGTAACGGATATCCGTTTTGGTCGACCTGGGTAGTTGAAAGCTAGTAGCTCATCCGACACCCCGACCTGGCAGCAGGGACTTATTGAGTGACCTGTTTAAAACATTTTTGACAACAAATTGTCTACATGTCCGTGAAGCTGGCAATAAATCGCCGAATAATCGCGATTTTAAAAAGAATCGACGATAACTACAATTAGTTAATGATTTTTTATCACTTATTATGAGAATCGTGATTAATCGGCAGCCATTCTGACCGAATTTCGCGACATGAGTATAATCTCTTATATGTCGGTTTGGACAAGATAGCTGGAAGTAAAAAAAGGAATCTCCGTGTATATGTAGAAGCTCACTTAGATGAGATAATATAGTTTTCAGCGTGATAATCGGAGTCAGATGAGTGTAGCGGATAATGCAAACAGAGAGATGAACTGATGTTCTTTTTTTCGAAAAAGTTATTTCCTCCAGGCTAGAAAATACGTCTCTTTTAACAGAAATTCAAGAAAGGGTTTATGGCTCAAAAACGTTGACATACATGACATCTAGAGCCGTTTCACTCGTCTGCAGGAAGCCAATAGTTTTCCAAGCAATTTTTCATTCTGTTATAAAAAAAATATTAATGTTTAAATGAATAAATAAAATAGTTTATGACATTAGGAAAAAGATAAGAATGCTAATAAATGCAAGATGAAAACGGAAGTATTCATATGTAGCATGAAGGGTAGCTTCTTTCCAAAAATCGTTGCGTTGAGCCGTATTAGAAGAAGAGAAGAACTTTTGTATTTCTTCCTTATACAGAGTATAGCATCGTTTATTTGACACATGACATGAGGATGTGCTGTCTATCACAGGAGAAATAGTTTGAGGAAGTGAGTCAAGATTTTTACATTCATAGTCCTAAAAGAAGATTAAGTAGGGCATCCGCTCCATGATTAACTAAAGTTATGTATCAGCTTTTCTGTGAAGCAGAGTTAGCAACAACAGGTTCCAGATAGTCATAAGCAAGGCAAGACAGTGTTTGTATTGGTTTTTCTACGTAAAACATCTCGTGTAAGTTTTCTTCTGTTCGAGAAAGAAGGTCGCTATGGGTCAGACGTACTGTTTTTTATTGAGTTACAGAATCTCTACTGATCCATAATGATGAACACTTTCAAATTGATCTACATCATCATAAAGATAAAACAATCTTTTTGGCAACTCAAAACCATTTTTACATGTATATTGGAACAGTGACAGTCACTAGCTTTTTCTTCATTTTTGAGAACATCAGTATAATTTAAAATCCAAACCAAACTGGTTAGGCTCGACAACGTGGGTTTACACCAATGGTATGGAGAAAAGAAGTTTAAGATCATACCTCGTTGTGTAAAATTGTCTTTAATTGATAGACGCACCGAAAACCTCTTCTGACAACCAGCAGTGATTGAGTTAGCTCATCTTGCAATGTTGTTGACATCTATTTTTCCAGAAGGAATGATTTTGCATGAGAGTCCATCCCCTTTTACTATCCTTCTTAATACTCTTTCTACTGGATTATGTTTATATGCTGTATCGTGTCTATTGCAAAAAAAACTCAAAACAATCTCTTTATGTACAGGTCATGATAAAAAAATCTTATTTTTTACTACTTGAGAGATAGAGAGTGACAACGAAATGTCATTTTCCAGGTGTCTAGTTATTAGTAGTCTGGGTATTCTCTGATACTATTATTTATATTTTAATTTTCTACTTTAGACATCAACGTATAATGTCGGATGCAGAAATTGAACCTGATCCCTATTTTACAGATGAAGAGGTATGTTTTTTTACATCTTTTTTGTATGGACAAACCCAACGATTTTTTTTGTTTTGAGTACAGGAAGAGATAGAAGGTAATTTTTCTATTGTAATGCTCCTCTCTGTTTTTCCTTTAAAACTGTTTTCTTATCCATTATCGAATACAAGAATTGCTGCTCAAAGTTTCTGTTCAAATTCTCTAGCTATCCTCTTTATGATATCATCTCTATCTTAAATAGTTTCTCCCAATTCTAACATGTGTTTGTATCTTTCTAGATGAGTATCGTCGAAAATTGAAAAACCAAGGTAATTTCTTTGTCTACTTACATATTCACTATTCTTGTTATGTCGACAGACATTATGAGTTTCGGCAGGAATTTTGATCTTAATCGTTTTGTTTAGTTTCTTTTTGCGAAATGCTCACACTGTGATCTAGAGAATTACGCAACGTAGAAAAGATTTGAAAACGGGAGAAAGTTTTCTGGACGTTGAAGATTGTCAATTGAATGTTCGTTTTTTTAAAAATGACTTGGATGCAGAACCATAAGGTCCAATAATGGAGGAAAAAATATGTAAAAAACTTAGAAAATTTTCATATCTTTATTATCCGGCGCCATTTATTATGGAGAAAAAACGAATCTTACCTTGTAAGCTGGAGAGTGACAATCATTTTTTAATATCCCTCTGTCTTTCTACGAGATTTTACTGAAAACAATTTGTCAAAAATTCTCTAATTTTTTCTCTACAGAATTGTGGGAGTCTGTCGATATCGCAATTTGTGCGTAGCACAATTACAATCCAGTTTTATTTTTTTGTTTAGAAAAAGTTTCTCCATGCAATAAAAATGTGGTATGTTGAGTATTTCAGAAACGTTTTATAAATAGCTAAATTCTATATATTTCATTTCAAGGTGCCTGTAACGGTAGTTTCTGATCGTTGTACAACCTTATGCACAAGAGATGAAGCAGATTACTTACTAAAGCAAACACGGAACATAGAAGTATAATGAAATGACCATAGTTTATGTAATGTTCAATTATCTTTAATTTATGACTTATAGGAAGGCAATTTTATACTTCGTCCAGCTACGCATGCACAACATCCGTATTCATTAAGCGTCTATACGAATGCTGGCGTTTCTCATTTTCAAATTGGTCGAAGTACGAATAATAGATTTATGATTGGTCCGTTAGATAAAATTGATATGAGTATGGCTCAGGTATGTTAAGTCAAACAAGTACTTCAGCCCCCCTCCCGCTCCAGGTCGGAAATATCGATTTTGAGAAAAGAACGTGGTTAGATAGTCCAAATTGTCTACTTTGTAATAATATAATTTTTGTGTCGATAGGATAGGTTTTTCATAGTTTTTGAGCGAGTTTTACAGAACCTCTACAACAAAAAAATGACTTTTTTGCACTTGCATTTCATAAACGCATGTATGTGCCTCACATGTTCATTAGATCAACTATGACCGATAACCTATAGCAAAGTATTAACAAATTATTTAACACTTAAGTAGTTTTTAAGTAAAACGCATTTAACAGGAACAAAACTTATTTTGCATTTTTCTCAAGACTGTTTTTTAGCTTCAGGGCTTTCGCCACATGCAGGAATTTTCGATAACAATACATCATAGAAAGAAAATTTGTTGACTTGTAGATAACACCAATAACTACGACTTGACAGAGTCCGACTTTTAAATTATGCTTCCATTTTTCATAGAAATGAGGATTTCTAAGAAATCTTTCAAGGATTTTTCGTATTTTTAAGTTCTATTAAGCACCAGAAATCATTAAATCAGAAATTCAAAAATTCGGCTCTGTCAACTCCTAGCCATAGGTGTTTACTGTAAAACAAAAAAAGCCCGAACTCTCTATCATTTACCTCAATTCTAGCACGTCGTAGACGCCTACTTTTGGCCCTTGTTGTGGCGCCCTCTCGCGAACAGTTTCAAATGACGCCAAGAAAGATTTCGTTATCACACTTTAACATGATCAACATTTCCTGAAAGTTTGATTCAGATAAGACCTGTCTGGGCTGAGAAAGGTTTCTAAACCGGCTAAACAAATTTTTCTTTTATGTTTTTTACTTTAGACATTTCGTTGCATGTCTGACCTTCTTAATTACTATTTATTGAATCCGATTACTTTTACGGAGGGATTGGGCCAATCGAGTATGATACAATTAAAACTTTACGGTGGTACTAAAGATGGTAATTATTATACATGGTTATAAAATATAAAAGCAGACGCTTTTACCGCTTTTGCTAGTTTTAGATAAAATTCCGATTATTAGTACTTTATATACTATGATCCTGTTACATTGTTTTTTCTTGCTCTTTTTAATAAAATATAATATATTAACTTTTATTTTTGTTCTTGTAGAGAGAAGACGAATATAACTATAACAGAGACCCACTACACCGATTATCTTTGGTTGTTAGTTCCATCCGTAGTTTTTTTAGGCTTTTCCTCGGAAAAAAAAAATAAAAGTTAGATATTCACTAAATTGTATTGTTCTTTGAATATTTTCTCAGTACAAACGTACGTATTTTGGAGTTCTATTTTGTTGGTTTTGAATAATATTCATACATTTTGAAAAGAAAAAGAAGCTTATTATATGTCTTGAACGAGTTGAAAAATGTTCTAATCATGCAAAAAACCGTAATAATAAGGTTAAATGGATTTCAGATAAATAAAACGTCTATTGGAAGGAAGTTCATTAAAAAACCATTTTGATTTTCAAGACTTTATTCACCTGTTTTAGCAGCAGCCATTAGACAGATCGTTTATGAAATAGTTAACAATCACTATACATCTTACAGAGAGTAAGAAAACTGTTATGTTACTTGTTTCATATCACTCTTATCTGCTTTTCTCGAGAGTTTTGTGGCGATGACTTGACGTGTAAAGACTATACACTGGCCTTTTTTGTTTAACTTTCGAAAATTTGCTTTATTATTGCTTCATTTGTTTGTATATGGAATACAAACTGGATTTTTATTTTAGTTTGTTTCACTAATCTCGCTGTTCACATTTCGTTTAATACATGATTTCTTTTTTACAAATATGATGACTTTTTAATGGACTTTCTTTCTTCTCTTCTTTTTGAACAAATCCTTTTTTGTTTTGTTTGAGAGTGACCCGACAACTTGTAATGATTAACTCTATGTATAAATAAGAATTTAACATTGTTGACATACGTAAAGATCTATCGCGGCACCCACACTTTCGTTTTTTGTTTGTTATCGAAAATGATAAGACACGTAGTAAAACATGGCAAATAGAAGGAAAAAAATTTAAACAGTTAGAACCATTATTATTATAACTATTCTAACAAGATATCTGGGTATGTTTTAAAAAAAGAAACGCAATTTTACATGATATTGTTTGCTATCATCTCTTGCAGTGGGTAAGACGAATTTAAAAGAATCAACTAAATTAAAAATCCACTCTTATTTAATCATATTTGATTGATGACAGTATAGTCCATATATATTTGTTTTTTCGTACTCTTCTTTTTGTTCTCGACAGAGATGTAACCACACTTTGATCACCCGCCAAAGAAAAGCTCAAAATCAAAGTAATAGATTAGAACTAGGAAAAGAGCATTATTTAAATGTTCAGTGTAAGTATAAGAAATATATTTTCTAATATTTTGCATCTATTGAATCTTGACTGAAATTGTTAAACCTTGTTGTAAATACCACAGATCGCTGATTAGTAGTTAAAATTGGAGACTTTCGAATCGTCCTTATTCGTCTTTGCCTTCTTTATAGTCTTATTTATTAAAGCCACAGGGTATTTTTATATCGACAGACATTATGTATTCTTGCTAGGAATTTGATCTTTTTCTTTTTGAATGGACCTTTTTTTATGTAAAATGTACACCTCATGATGTAGAGAACTATGAACGCTAGAAAATTTCTGGGAACGGTAAGATATTCTTCCGACATTGGAAATTGATCAATGCACATTTTTCTCTCATATAAAGGTCCCGATTCGATACCATAAGCGGCACAAGCGAAAGAAAAATTTATTTTGGACTTCGAAATTTTTCGTATATTTAGTTGTCCAGCGCCATTTGTTCTACATAGCAAAAATAATTCTCTCTCTTCAAATTTCGTTTCCAATTCATTTTGCTTAAATCTGTCTATTAAAGCAGCTAAAATCACAACGAATGTGATGTGGTGAACTCTCTATTGACTGCGGACCGCTTCTGACAGATTCAGATCGGATACAGTCTGTCACCATCGCAACTTGTGCGTAGCACAATTACTCTCTAGTTAAGTTTGTTTTTCTTCTTCTAATGTTTCTTAAGAGATCAGTATTGCATATGAACAGGAAAAGTTCAAAACTATTTGAATTTCATACTTCTCTAACTCTTTTCTTTTAGATGAATTTGTATAAATAAATACTAGCATAGTATTTGTTGTCATCATTAACTATTTTTATTTGTTAATAAATATGACGATTGAAATATCCAACGAGTCTGCTACTCTTAGCATTTCTACTATTATATTTATAGGGGTAAGATTGATACCTTTGTTTATATATGTATGCATTTTTAAAAATATCTAATTTTTTTTTATTAACTGTAATGATGTATAACATAAATATTTTTTAATGAAGTAGAGTGAGTGCTGTTAGATAGAACAGAATGTACATGATCGAGAACTATAATATTGCCAAAGTACAATTAGTTAAAAGTAAAACATCCATTATCATCTTGTCTATTCTCTATTATCTATGTAAGTAGACGATATATGTATATATATATATATGTGTGTGTGTGTGTGTGTGATGTGTGATGTGTGATGTGTGTATTTTATTCTTCACTACTCAATCTTCTTATGTTTAAAAACTGTATAGTGCCCGTCGTTCATCATGGATGATTATCTTTCAAAACATGACCGCATCTTTATCGTCATTTTTCGATTATCAGATAGAAAAACAAGAATTTCTACAGTTATAAAGAAAGATGAAGTTTATCTGATAGATTCGTCTAGCACTAATTACTAAAGAAAAAAACGAAAAACATTCGATTTTATCTTAACTCTGTTATTTCACTAATCATTAAAGAAAAAGAACAATTTAGAGGATATAGAATCCAAAATGTTGACAAACTCTGGATAGTATTTTTGATGTGTTGATTTTTTTTTTGGGATTTCCCAGATTGTCAGTCTCTAGGCTAAACATTTAATAGAGAGAAAACATTAATTATAGTAAAAAAAGGCGACAGTTATCTTTGATAGTTAAGCTAACGATGACAATGACATTCTTGTGTCTGAACTCAAAACAAGGTTTTATTAGATACTTTTATAATTTACTAAAAAAAGTCTATAATTCGTCCTTCGTAGGTGTTGTCATTTTCTTTCTTATACTTTTGTACATGTATGTTCGAAATTCAAAGTATATGTCTGCCTCTTTTTTACTACCTGAATAAATATATGATAATCGAGGGATGTACAACATAATTAACCTTGACAAACTGATTGTTTCAGTGCACTTGAGAAAGGGTGGAAGACGTCAGTTTTTTTTTTTAAAAAGATAAATTACATCAAGTTATACATCGTAATAAAAAAAAAGATTCAAATATACATTTATTACATTGTTTGACTAAATATTTCACCTTGTCAAAATCAAATGTTTAATCCCATAACAGTGAATAGAATACTATATTCGATGATCGAAAATTTGCGAGACCAAGTTCAATTCTTTTCAATAAATTCAGAAAAGGTACACGGTGTGTCTGTGTATTCGAATTTTGAGAAAAAGGTTTAATTTCTATTGCACTACGGTTGATTAAAAATGATTTTTCTACCCGCTTCCATGTTAGAAAGTAAAAGTAAATTTGTTTTTTATACATGAAATAATTAATGTCAAGTAAGTACAACAATCGAATTCAAAGTTCACCTTTTTAACAGTGAAAAAATGATTTTGTTTACTTTGAGTCATATATTACGTAATCACCTATAAGTGCAGAAGTGTTGAGAAAAGATTAGACTTGATGCGCCAAGAAGGGACACAGTGTGCATCCAGACGGACATGAGAGGAAAAAGTAAAAACGTACTTTTTTCAGATTTAAATAGAGGGAAATATACATCAGACTCCTTAGTGACATAATAATTTTTGTTCCATGTGCTAAAAAACCTGAGACAACTCAAAGTCGAAAACTTGTTTCAGAACACATGGGTGAAAGGTAAAGAACTTTTGTTGTGAAATCCGATAAACTGCAACCTAAAAACGACATAGGTTTTCTGAGCCATCGATTAGTAAAGAAATTTTTTCTTTTGAACATAAATGTACGGAAAAATAGAATGTAGTTTCGAAAGTAAGGAAGTTTCCGAAAACATGTCTTTTTTTCTCTGCCAGAAAAGCGCTTTTTTCTCGATAAAAATGGCATATTTGGAATCGGTGTGTCGAGTTGCATTGAACCATATATAACACAATAAGTTTTAGATAAAAAAAACATTCATTGAATGTCTTCTCATGAATCTACAAGGTCACTTTTTTCTGAAAACGTATATTTTTTCTTTAAAACCAATCAGAGATAACTAAGCAATGATAATTATTCGTGAAAAAAGTGGTTTATCAGCATCAACTTCTGATGTCTGCCTGCTATTAGAAAAACGCACACTGTGGACGAGGGAAATTGTTAAGTAAAAACTAAGTAAGAAATTGATAAACAAAATGTTAGTGCACCTATTATCTATAATATACTCAATTGTTTAGCTTCAAATTTTGTTGAAAATTGAACAACGGAACAGTAATATATGTATTTTTGTAAATTCATTTATTTTTGTGTTTTTTTTTGCTCTAAAGGACAGTTAGTTATAAATGAATAAAATTTTTATTTGAAAAAGATCATTAAGAAAAAACCAAATACTTTTCTGTGTTGAACATACACTATGCAAAAATGTTAAGAATTTTTTTTGTTTTAATAATTTGAGAGAGACTCTCTCAAATCATTATGGTTGATTATTCTTGAGAAGGTAGAAGTAAAAAAATTGATTACGTAATGTATAGACGTTTCCTAATGTATAATTCAATATATTGAATCCTAAAAAGTGTCATTCTATTGATGTTCATTTCTATTCTATCATAGTGAGAAAGATTGAAGAAGTCTACACTATATTCCATTTTTAAAAATATACATTAATTAGAATTAATTATTGTAGTTAAATAATAGAATTGTCCAACTATTTCGTTTCTCACATTGTCCATGAAAGCAAATGAATTTTTATATAGAGAAGAGCTTTTATATTCTATTGTGTTTATGTCGTATAGATTTTCTTGACTATGTTTAGATGAATACTTATCTTTTATACTTTTCACCATTTGAAGGTCTTTTCTACACTCATATACATAAATGGACAGTTCATTTGACATGCTTTGATACTTTTTGATGATTAATTTTTTAGTATACGTAACAGAGGGGTGGCACTTTACCATTACTTTATTGACCGAGTAGAGTAACGGTAACGCTAATGTTCTACTCCTCACTTATCCAAGAACACATGAGAATGATATTATGATGACAAAAAAGAGAAAAAAAAAGATGATAAAAGATAAATATGACAGCAGAATTAGGCAATGAACTGCAACTGTTTGTCAATAAACTATAAAATTTGACATTTTACTGAAGATAATTACGAAGATGCCATAATTTTATTTTTTTTGTTATTTTTCTACAAATAAAAAAATTGAATTCTATTTAAATACTTTGACGATCATCAATATTATAACTACAAATTGGATCTATGATAGATCTACAAAATTTATTATTAGTTTTTTAAATTTTCAATCTTAATTGTTTCAAAAATTCTTCAATTTTTCTTTTTTTGCATCTTCTTTTCTCGTTTCACTTGATGCTCTCTTATTTCTCTCATAAAATGTGTTTGTCAAATGAAAAGACTAAAGAGAAGAAGAAAAAAGCATGAACAACATAACATATAGAAGAAAAATTGTTGGTTGTATGTATATTCTCCTAATCTAACTGTGAGTAAGAGCGAGTTCAACATCTATACAAAAGAGGCTATTATAGACTGTAATCCATCTTTTTTTCTTTTTCTTTCCTTTTCTTTTTTCTTCTTCTTTTTGCAATATATTCAATTCATTTGATAAGTTGCACGTACCATAATTCTCTCAACGTAATTATTATCGATAGTGCAGCAGTCGACAGAGTAATATTACTACTAGTATGAACTGTTCACTATGTATAGAGTTTGTACAGCAAAGAAAACAGAAAAAAAACGAAAAGAAAGAAAAAAACATATATACATTCACATAACATGTACATAGTAAAGAACGAATGAATAAGAGAGAAAGAACTTTTTTCTTTTTTTTTTTTTTTTGACTAATAATATATTCATCTCGTTATACGTGTGTGTATGTATACATTCATCATCACCTCGATAAAATCAGTTTTTGTCTGATTTTTTTTGTTATTTATTGGCTGTAAACGTAAGTGCATCTTTGCTTTGATAGAATAAAAATAATAATAAGCTCGGAAACATAATTTAACAACTATCCAGATTAAAATTGAACATCAGGTTGTTTTCTATTTCTATTTTTAATTTTTTGATAATTTCTTCAAAAATTCAAATAAAAATAATTAAGAATATAATAAAGAACATATATTGATAAGAGAAGATCGAACAATTTTATCCACTTTATAATAATATATTTCCATTTTAAACTGAAATGGATTATTTGTAAAATAAATAAATGATTTTTCTTTTTATCAAAAATTATGAATAAGCTACGCAATTTCTCACTTAACAAATGAAGCTTTAGATCTTAAGATCAACAACACTATATATGACATAATAAGGCGTTGTTTCATATTTAACTGTATTGAGAATTTTTATTTAAATAATTGAAGAAAAAAAACATTATGTTTCTCTGTGATGATGTTTCATTTTGTAGACTAAATAAATACTAATTAAATATTATTCTTTTACTCATTTTCATCACATGTAACTTATGAGAATATATTTTTTTATTATACTCTTTTAAAACAAGCAAAGATATTTCATATTACATCATATTTTTTTATCTTACATAGAATGATTGTGTTAAAGAATATGTAAATCTATCTCTCTTCTCATTTTTATTTTTATTTTTTTTATTTTCAATTCAACATTGACTCATTATTTTCCATTTACAAATTGTTTCATTGAGAAGAGAGATGCTCAAACCCCCCCCTCTCTTCTTTTTTTTGTCTTTTTCTTTTATTTTATTTTCGTTTACTGTACATTAAATAGAAGATAATCAAATACTCCTTAGGTAACAAATGGGGAAATTCTTCTTTAACATTGTTTTTGAATGAATAGAATTTCTATTAGAGTAAATAGTCAAATTTGTTGATTTTCCAATTTCTATTGATTAGAGATAGATGACTGTTTTTTTTTTTCTTTTCTTCTTCTTTGAAACATCTTCTCCCACTGTTTTTCTGTTCTTTCATTCATTGATCTCTATCTCACCTTATTCATTTTCTGATTTTTTTTTTCTTTTTTTTGTTTCAATCATTATTATTATTATTATTACTTTTTATTTTTCCTATATATATATATAAATATATTCATCGTCGAGTGTCATCCGCTGTAGAGAAAACTAACTAAAAGAAAAATTGTTGAATGAAAGAGAGAGAGAGAGAAAGAAAGAAAGAAAGAAAAAGAAGACATTTCCGTATAAATATGAGTTCGTTGATAGTAGTGCTAGAAATGTTTCATTTTTTTTTTTTTTTTTCTATGTTAAATTTTTTTTATCGTCTGTGCACTATTAGATGAGATCTAGGCCAACTATATGCTGTTATTAACAACGAAATATAATATTGTAAGTGCTTACTCTTTGACAATATAATACGTACTGTTTTCTTCTCTTACTTCAAGAATTTTAAATAAATCGCATCCTTTTTGTCCAACTGATTACCTGGATGTCTTTTTTCTTCTCTCAATTCGTGTATATTTAAAATTAAAGTTTTTGTGTTGTTATTGTTTTTTTTTAATTAAAATTATCTTCTTTTCTTGCTTGACGACCTATTAGTTTACGTAATGAGAATGTCATCGAATTTCAGCATAAAATGAGGTCAAATTGTTTTCTTTTCTTCTTTTCGAACACCATTAGATTGTTGTTATCGATTCATTTTCACTCCTATCACTATTTTTAAAAAACAAAAATTTCTTTCAAACAAACAAATCAATAGTTTTAGTATTCTCTATCTGATATATCTATCATAAAATCACAGAAATTATTTTAATTTTATTGTACATTTTTTGTTTTGTCTTACTTCTACTAAATCATATTATGAGATAGATAATACTTTAACTAGATTTTTCTAAAGATATTACTCATTCGTTCTCTAATTCTACAATTTATGTTACTTCTTTTTTTTGATTTTATTTTTATCTTTTATCATTTTAGTTTGATTGATAATGAATTCGAGTAACGTTGCCCATTCTCTATTATCGGAAGAATTAGATTTAAATAATATTAATAATAATAATAATACAAGTAATAGTTATACCGATATATCCTATGATGATGAAATAACAAATTCAATTAAAAATTATAAAGTATATGATACAACGTTATTTGATGTTCTCAAAGTTGATGCAGAAGATTTTGCGGTAAGTTAATTAAAAATTTTATTATTCATATAAAAGTTGAACATTTTGTATACATTTTAAACAAAGAATAATGATGTTAATAATTAACTTAACTCAATTTTTATTATTACTAACAAAACTATTGATAGAAAATATGTTTAAAAATATATATATTTTATTTCTTAGATGACCTTCATTTTGATTGACATTTTCTCGTTTTAATTTAGACATTTTTTTTGACGTTAATTTAACTTTATATTTGAATATTAGAAAACTTATTTTAATCGTTTTTCATGTAGTCAATTTTGTATATCAAGGGTTAAAATATTGACTTTTAGTCTAAAAATTTAAAATTACAAACAATGTGAAATGAAACATCTTGAAAAATGAATAATGTAGATAAAAAAAAATAAAATAAAACTACAATAGAGTACAGACATATTAAATTTTTCCAAATGTGAAAAAATGATTGTAATCAAACTGATAGTAAATAATTAAAAGAAAAATTTGTTATTGATCAATTTAAAAGTAGATGAGTTGAACAGATGAAAAAGAGATAAAATTCCTATTGTTATCATTAAAAATTCTATCTATCAAATTCTATATACAAGTATTTTATTGAATGAATGTATTTACGTTATACACGATAAATGAGAATAAAAATTGAATTGAATTTTAATTCAATAAGAACCATTGACTCTGTTGTCTGATCATAATAAAGAGATTTGAGTAATTTAATTATCTTTTTTTCTTCTCTTTTTTTTTTAGTCTCAAATCACACTACTCGATCTGCCCGTATTTAAAGCAATTACACCAGATGTAAGTTTTTTTTTTTTTTTTGTTGTAACATTTTTTTCTTTTTTAAAGTTCTTAACAAGTTTTTTTTTTTTTCTTTATCTTCACAGGAAATGACCAGCTGTGGATGGAATTCAAAAGCAAAAATTGAAAAAGCATATCATATTGTACAATTTACTAGACGATTTAATCAAGTAAGATAAACAAATAATAAAAAAATTACACCATGGTCATTTTTAGTTACAAATCTTTTATTTAGGTTAATTTTTGGATTCAAGGAGAATTGTTACGAGCTAATATTTTGAAAAATCGCACAGAAATTTTATCTCATTTCATTAGAGTAGCCAACGTATGTCATTGAAGATTTGATAAAAAATGATGAATTAATCTCTTTTTCATGTTGTTTAGAAATTATTTCATCTAAATAATATCAATGGAGCTATGGCTGTTATTATGGCACTACAAAGTGCACCAATTTACAGATTACAAAAAACGTGGCTTGTACGTATATATTTAATTTGATTAAGATGAGAAATGTTACGAGTCTAGAATCGAGTGTATAATTCGAGAGAAGGAAGTGACATTTTTTTGTTTTTGAATATGCTAATATATAGTGTCAAATTTTTGTTCTAATAATGTCTTTCATTGTTTTTTTTGGATTATTACGGAGTTTGTTACTAAGTACAGATTTAGAAACAAAAAACCCACAGACACATTCACAACAACGTTTGCAGTTGACGAGAATATACAAAAAAGTTTTTTAAGAGAACTTTTTACTTGTGAAAAGGAGTATATAAAGTATAATAATGGATAATTGAATATGTCTTTTAGTTTTTTACTACGTTTACTCCTAGTCATTTTATAAGGTACAAGTGGCGATGAATCGTACGTTGGGTGTATAAAGATTGATTGAAAGGAATAACACTAAAAGGTATAATATCTAAAAATGCCAAACAAATAGTGTTTTAAGTAAATAGGGCTGCCCCGAAGCGGTTAGGATTGTGAGGGAAAGGGCGTGACAGTTTTTTGCGCGGTGAGCGCCATCAAAATCGTATAGAATGCAAGAAACATGTTCAGCTTCGCTGAAAACAAAACGAAAATTTTTCAGTATCGAACTTCTCCTTCGCTCTTGGACCAGTTCTGTAAGTAAGACAAAATAATCTTGGGACAAACCCTCGATCTATCCTTCAAGATGTATGCACAAAATAGGCTTGTCACATTCCTAGTTAATATTGACATTATAAAGTATATGAAAATTATCTATAGGGTTTGAACAAACGAGATCGAACAACATTTTCAACTCTCAAAGAATTCGTATCATCAAATGAAAATTGGAAAAAACTTCGACATCATTTATCCAATACAAAACTACCATGTATACCATATTTAGGTAAATAAAGAAAAGAAAAAAATTTCTTAAGAATAAAAACTTTTTTATCTTCTGTACCTTTTATTTTTAGGCATATTTTTAACGGATATAATACGAATTGATACATTACATCCACATAGTGGTGGTTTAGAGACTAGTCAAAGAAAAAATGCTATGAATAATATATGTCGAATGATATCTGAATTTCAACAATCTGATTATAGTAAGAGAAAAATTATTAATTCTATTTTTCTTTAAAAATTTTTATTTTATTTTTATAGATTTTCTAAAACCTTTGGATTATGTACAAAATTATTTATCATCTGTGAGATATATGGAAGAATTACAAACATTTATTGAAGATTCAAATTTTAAGTATGTTGTATAACTAAATTTAAACAATATAAACAGAAGATTAATGTATTTCTTTATGTTTTCTTCTAGACAATCAGTAATACTTGAACCAGAATATACGGATGTTAACGATCATCATACAACAGAAAAATTATCAAAAAATATTGAGAAATCAGCATCATTTAAGGTATCCGTTGAAAATAATAGTAATCAGAATACATGTCATCGTCGAACATTGAGCGATTATAAAGAGTATGTTATCTGTTACTTAATTTAAGATATTTATTTTAAAAAAAAACTTGTATATTTATTTTAGTACAATGCATTTAACAATATCATCAAAATCAGCCACATTACCATGTAGAACACGTGAAAAAAAGAGTCTACTAGATGATAGTGTTTTATCAGATTGTGTGGCAGAAGAAACGCGTTCAAGTAAGAGAAAAAATTTATTTCTCTTTTGTTTGAGTGTGTGTGTGCGTGCGAAAGGAATATGAACTTTTTCACTCTAATGAACGTAAAGAATTGAGTGAAAAATGTTTAAAAAGTTTATAAACGATCTTTTTGTTGGCTAGAGTGTGCATTTTTTCATGATGATTGCACTAAATTTGATTTTTATAAAATAATTTTATCAAATATTCATATATCATTTGCAGATCTGTTATTGAAAGGTAAAAATATTATTTTTTTTACTGTACACCTTATTTTTTTGCTTTTTTTGATATTCTGACTCACCTTTTATTTATTATTTCGTTTCATTCATATTTGCTGCTTTGAACATTATTTTTCAGTCATTCTATGCTTGCTTCATTTAATATGATTTGGTTTTCGTTTGATGCTATTGTCACGCCTTCTACACTTTACTAATTGACATTCAATAGGTCATTTTTATTCTAAAGAGAATTTATCTATTTTCCACATATGAAAATTGAGGAAAATATCGATAATAATAAATGTGCAAGTCACCACATATTGAATTGACCTTGCTTTGTGTAATTGTTCTTTAATAATAAGTTTTTCTGATAAAAATGTCAATAATATCTATCTATTTTTTGTATTTGACTAACGATTCATTGTATTTGTGTAAATTTTAATAATTAATTATGCTTTTTTTCTTTTGATTTTGAAACCTATTATATTAAAACTATGATTTTTTATTTTTCAGGTAGTGATTCGAATGATTCATGTGAACAAACAATAAAAAAGGCTAAAACAGCTCTTAAACTATCAAAACAACATCATCATCATACAAACGCTTTATCTATATCACTATCATCATTATCAATGAAAGAACCATTAAATCCATTAAATGATATTATTATACGAACAAATTTTAATTTTGAAGGTTGTTTACAACGAAAATGTTTATTAAAAAATTATAAAAAACCAACAATAGCAACATGGCATAAATATTGGGTAGCTGTTTGTGAACATTTATTATTTCTCTATAAACCAAAACGTTTTACATTACATACAAGAATACAAACTAATCTTTTAATTCGAAACAGTAACAATAATAAAAATAATAACGATGAAGAATTAATAACAAGTTTAACGGACAATGATCGAAAACTGTTTAGACAAAATCCTTACAAATGTCAATCGATTTCCGATTGGTTAATTGTACTTAGTCAAGCAAAAAATAAAAACGAAATACAATTGAGCGATTTAAATAAGGGTAAGAGTAATACAATTAGATGTAGTATGATATAAAATTGTATGAAGATTCTGTCATTTTTAACCTCGATCCGACCACCTATAATATGCCCAAATTCTACCAGTTTCGGATAAATTGTATAGTTAATGCAGCTATGTGAAATGACAACATTCTTTTATGTTGTGACAATATTTCAACCTATTATGATCATTATTAAGTCAATACAAATAACTGTAATAGAAACTGAAAACTTAAAAAATGAAACGAATCTATTTCATTTTCAGTTTTCATTTTCTATTACAGTTATTTGTATTGACTTAATAATGATCATAATAGGTTGAAATATTGTCACAACATAAAAGAATGTTGTCATTTCACATAGCTGCATTAACTATACAATTTATCTTAAAGTTGTTGCCTATTTCAAAAGAAAATATCTACCACTTTCATTTGGATATTGCCTGAACATAACGGTCAGATTTTACCGCTTCACTTTATATTCCACTGAATGACAATAGGGTTTACTAACTGATTGCATTCATTCATTATTTATCTAACAGAGCCGCAAGTCATATCTTCAAAGCACTCGTTTTTGTTTGGGATCCGTACGGCCCCCTGGTGGATGAATCAGGATTACCGAATTTTTTTTTACAGCGCATTGATTTAACTGAAACAAATTTTAAATTAAACGAGTACATTTTTCTATTTACAGGTACCATGTATAAATTTCGTGTGGAAAATTCATGCGTTGCCAATATATGGTATAACCGTTTGAAAGAATCATCGTCATATAGACAAAGAACAAAACCTGAAAATTTAATAGCCCTCGATTAAGTACAAAAATTCAACAGTATATATATATATATATATATATATGTTTGTTATTTTCTTTCACATCGATATTTCTTTTCGCTTTTTTTTATACTTGTTACACGATAGATTTGTTGTTCTTTTTTTTTGTATTTGTGTATATATATATATATATATATACATATATCGTCGCATGTGTCTTTTTGTCTATCTATTTGTTTTTCTACTATGAACGTGTTATTATTGCTCAAAATCTTTAAATTTGTTAGTTTAAAAAACAGTTTTCGTTATTGTGCCTTTCTCTTCAAAAGAGAATCAAGCCATTGAGCATAATAAAGTTATACTTTTTTCTCATCATCCACCGTCGAACTATTTTTCTATAAGAAAACTTTTTTTGGCTAGTAAACGTTTTTTTTTATGGATGATAATAGATGATTTAAATAATTAAAATAAATATGCATCAGACACCCAATTCTCTTGTACTTGTTATTTTTTTAGACATTGAGCAAATATGCGAATAGATAGTGTTTGATTCCAAAATAAAAATCGACCACACATTTAATGTTTGCCTACTTTTTCTCTGACGTTAGATGGACGCAGGTTAGTAATAAATTTTTTATGCACAGTTTTACAACTGTTCTGTCTGCTTGTTTTTTTGTTTCGCGTTTTTTGAAATCATCGTAGTAAACTGTTTTTTGCTGCAATATAACGTTTCTCTTGCTTCGGATTTGGTTTCGTTGGATTCATTTTTTATATGTAGTAATTAGAGATGGGCATCGGAACCAAAAAAATTTTCTGGTCGCGGTAAAAGATTTGATGGCCGTTCCATCACCTTCACGGTTAAAATATCATTTGGCCGTGGATTTTGTAG